ACGTTCCCAGTGGAACGTTGGGCTTAAAGCTGGAGGCTTGGAGTTTCTGTAGCAGTGATGTTTATTTTTACAGGATGGAGTTACTAGCCGCATGTCCAACTTTCCCTCTTTACCAGTCTTACTACTGGCTTAGCGAGGTGAAGGATTGCGTCGACCTCCGATCTAACCCCAGACAAACTACGTCATTGGCGAGCACAGTTGTTAGGACTCTCGCCGACCATGCACATAGTTCGGGGTTCGATCCCCTACCGACACACACCTGATATCTATGGTCAGCTTGTGAAATTCGGACTACCGATATCACATGCTGAAAATTCCATACCTGTACCAAAAACTACGGTGTAGAATCAAGCTGTAATCAAAAATACAAAAAAATAAAATAAAATACCGCTGTGACACCGACGCACAATTCGTTGCTCATTATCATATCAAGGTTATATCAAATGAGCAATAATTTGTGTTCAAAACGTCATCAGTTAATATTACTGTACCACACTGTGTGGTTTATCTACATAAAATCTTATCCATAATGGAACTCACCTTCGAAACATGTTCCTTCCAAATGAATCTTCCTCAGGATTTCCTCTAATTTATATATGCCTAAAATTTTATTACAGACACATCGATGGTATTGCCATGAGTTCTGCGTTGCGTCTAATTTCAGCATATTTATTTCTTGCTAAGCTTGAAAATGCTCCATTGAAACAAGTAATAGAAAAAGCCGATTCTTATTTTCACTATGCTGATGATGAGTTTATTATTCTTGATGTGAAAGCTGACAAGAATGAAATGTTAATAAAATTGAATGATGCACATCCATCGCTCATCTTCACTTGTGAAGAAGAACATGATGGTAGACTACATTTCCTGGACGTCCAATCGAGCACAAGAGGGGATGGTGCACTCAAGAGAGATGTCTATAGAAAACCTACATCAATAGGACAATGTACGCACTTCCCCAGCTTTGTACCAACCCGATACAAAATCAATTTGATCTGATGCCTGACGAATAGATCAAGACGTATCTGTACAGATGACTCCCTAGAAAATGAGTTAGCATACATCCCAAATACACTGGTCCAAATGAGTTATCCTAGTAAGTTCGTAAGGAGACACATGAATACCAGGTACAATAAAGAGAAACTAACAACAGTTGAAGAGAAAAAACTGTTCATCAAATTGCAATTTAATGGGGATATGGCTAGCGAAGCCTTACATCTGAGATTATCGAGAGCGATAAAACGGACTTATGCTGCCGCCACCCTTTGTTTGTCATTTTCCAGCTGCCGTCCAATTATGACTGCTCAAGCAAAAGACAAGCTATCTAGCTGTCCCACTTCTATGTGTGTCCACAAATTTAGTTGCTCCTGTGAAGAGAGCTACATAGGACAAACAACTAGACAGCTGAACAAATGCATTAATGAGCATCTTCCTTCATGGTTCGGAAAAGATGAAATAAAATCTATGACAAGTTCTATTTTGACTCATTTGATTGACAGTGGTCATCAAGTGGATGGAAATGGTGCCTTCAAAGTTATCTATCACATTCCATTGAGCCTTCCGAACGGAATTCGAAACCGCCTTTTATACTTAGCCGAAGCTATGGGAATTAATTCGAGAGAACAATCCTAGTGTCTTTGCATACAACAAAAGAAGTTTGTTGTACCTTTGTCTCTTGCTTGCTTCGTCTAGATGAATTCTATTCAAAACCCTCCCACCCTTTCTTATTTTCCGTCTCCTTTGTACTTTTATGATATTCATTTAAGCTCTAGTTATCTGTCCACTTCACGTTTAGTATTACGTAACTTTTAAGATTTGTCCGAATTTGTTTATTTATTGAATTGTCTACATATACACATATTACTACTACTACTTTTGTTATTCTTATCGCCACCTGCATAAACCCTATTATCAATATTTTGTTATCATTATAATCATCGTTATTACTGACGTTCAAAACACTTACCACATTATTATTATTATTTGATCCACAAAATCAACATCACTGGTTAAAATTTTTTATATATAAATCTATGTAAATTAGAGCAAAGCCTGATGAAGATCTAATTGAAAAAACAACAATATTTTTCGCTTGTATGTCTTGTTCTAGTACAACAAAACAACAAAAATAACCATCCTGTAAAATTCATTAGAAAAATCAAAAAAAGATCAGAAGCAAAATAACAATAATAGTGAAATTAATAATGACAACATAAATAGGAAAAAATATAAGGCATATACAGTTGTTTTACCATATATGAGGGGACATCTGAGACCCTATGTGGCAGGATTCTCAATAAAGCAGGAATTAGGGTGGCATTCACACGTACAAACTCCCACAGATAGAACGAGCTCTGTAGGTTAAAGGACCCTGTGAGTTGACCCAGTTGGACAAAATAATATAATTTACAAAATACCTTGCAATGACTGTGAGTTAAGTCAACTGCATAGGTCAAACTAATAGAACAGGAGTAGTTAGATTGTCGGAAAATAAGAATTTAGCTAGGCTAAGAATGATTGACTCCAAGAAGATAGGTAATTTAGCAAAAAGCTCAGCGATTGCACTGCATGCATTAATACAAAATCACACAGCATAGGGTGGGAGAGGGTTAAATTCTAAGAAGTAATATAAGTAAGTGGAGAGAGAGAGAAGGTGGATTACTGAATCCTTGTTCGTCGAATCGACACCCAACGCTTGCAACAGGATGCAATGACTCCTCACTCATACCAGAAATATGTAAAATACTACTACCAATCAAACCAAGCAATGGAAAATAATGACGGTATTATATAAAGGAGGCTAGAAAGTTGTGTGAGTAGTGTCTTGATATGATTGGGAGGGTAATAAGTTTTGCTCGGAACGTGGTCATCAGTAAATATTACTGTATAACACTGTGAGACTTTATTAAAATAAATTTTACCCATAATGGAATCTTCCAGCTTCTCTAATATTCAGCAGAAATCACCTTCGAAGTCTAGATCTTCAAGTGACTTATAGTCAGTCTCGCGTAGGCCCGTCCCGTCCCGTCCCACAATCTCTTGCTTGACCCAGTCTACCAATATCAGCGATGTTATCTGTGATAGTTCACAAATAGCCTTGCATTACTTGTATCTTCACCTCAAACTTCTCACTTGTATTGCATCTGGTGACAAACTCAATAAATAAATAAAAGAATGATTTGGTTATGTTCTGCTCCAAACCGTTTCGTATTTACTCTGTTCTCCAAAAGAGTACTACATAAAGTATATTGTATTGAAATAAGAATTATGTTAATATATGCATAAAACTTGGGCACTGTGGTAGTAAGTAATTCCATACTAGTTTGTTTATTAAATGTATTGCACTGTGAAACAGTATTATTAACTGGGTGACACAGATTCGAACACAATTTATTGCTGTTCATAACCGTATCACTTATAATCATGTGACTTTGAAACTTTAGTTTTATAGTTTTCTTTGTTCTCTCCTATTTGTCGTCGTAGGGATAGTAGAATCTTTCAGCTATCTGAGACAGACATTGAATCATTCCTATTACATGAATTTGCAGTTGATTCGATAAATAAGGCTTCTGTTATCAATTCTCCCTCCACCCTGGTGGTGCATTAGATTTTAAAACTGTCATCCTATCCTATCTCATCTTATTGTATGGTTGTGTTGTGTGCAACTGCATGTAGTGAGTGGTATGGCTGAACTATTCCTAGATTTCTTATCTTATTCGGGTCAACCAATCCAGATTTTGCTAGGTTTTTATGGTCGGTTAGTCTGACTGACTGCCCCGTTCTACTAGTTTGACCTGACAATCATTGCAGGTAGGGTGGTGGATAAACTAAATTCTTTTGTTTTAACGGCTTCACAGGATCTTCTAACCAAGAAAGCTTGTTTCTAACTGAGTTTGTGGGTTTGAATGCCAGCCACTTTCATTACTGCCTTGTTAAGATTCTAATTAAGGTTTCTAGGTTTCTTCCTTGTAAGGAATTACTACTGATGATTTAGATTCCTTATTGTTGGCGTCGTCATTAATATTATTATTATCATTATTATTAACACTATCGCTACTATCATTATTTATTTTATTTTTACATTTTCCTACATAATTTCTGAGTAATTTATCAGGGAAATCATTGTTTCAAGGCTTCTCTTTTATATATCACTTCCTGTCTTAGATTTTCCTTGGTACTACTTAGTATTTGTGCTCTATCACTTAAACATTTCACCAATCCTATTTTTACTGACATAGGATGGGATGATCGGAAGTTCAAATCTGTTGGAATGTGTGTGTTTTCTATAAACACTAATGTGTTTTATCTTCCCATCTTCTTTACTTCTTACGCTATAATCTAACATTTGAAGCTCCCTATCATTCCTGACTTTCCACTTCATGCGTGAATTGAATTGCCCCCACCTTTGAGTTGATACGTTCGAAAAATCTATCTATAACCTGTATTCTAAGTACAGTGAATGTGTCATCTACATACCTCCACAACCGGAATATCCATGATCCCATGACAACTCCCTCAGTTTGTTTGTACATTTTCCCTTAAAATTTAAATATTGTGAATAAGGAAGAGAAAATGGTTAGTTTTGACATTGTCAGTTTATATATATATATATATACCAATAAATATGGTCATAGAGACAGTCAAAACGAACTCATTTATGACTAAAAACTCGAACTTAGGATGAAAATGCCACTACTAAAGGACATAATGCTTAAAGTGCAGCTATGCCTGTTCTGTTCTGTTTCATTCTATTTTTAACCGTATTGCGTATTTACTCTGTTCTGCAATAGAGTACTGCATAAAGTATATTATATTTTAAATAAGCATTGTGCTATTTTCTTATTGGCTATGCTCATACATATTTGTATATAAACTAATAAATCGTGACTACGTGACTAAAAGCGCAAAACTCTTCAGAATCTCACTAAATTATCTCTAAAACAAATGGTGCTCTTGTGTTACCTTATTTGATATTATTACATATAACATACCCGATTCACAATCTATAACGTACATATCCGAAGATGTGCCAGATCACCGCATTACTTTATTCTATATTATTCCTATGTTTCTCATTTCCCTCGGAACATTTAACACTTGAAATACCTCTGAATGATGATCATTATATACACGATGAAAATGATGACGTCATCAAAGAGTCGGATCGTTTTAAAAATGATGACAATGGAATTATCATGTCAGAAGATAACGCTCACAGAAAAGTAGGTGATTATTTTATAAAGGATATTAATTAACATATCGTACAACTAGTCAGATCATTATTATTATACACAGTTTGTTCGCCTGGAACAACCAATGCCTATCATATTTACAAAGTTTAACAAAATTAATATTCCTGTGGAATCATCACAGGTAAGTAATTCTATGCATTTCTACTTCTTCTGCATTATATGTGTAGAGGATTGAAAGCTTGTTTCCAGTTAAATATTATGGCGTAGAGTATACAGCAATCAATGTACTAACAACAGGTAAGATAAATAGAATCATCTTTGAATTATATAAATTCTACTTTGTATCATTTTTCTGAGTGTTGATCAATAGGGATTTGAATAATAATAATAATAATAATTTCCTTTATTTCAAAACAGTACTTGTGATACAGTATGGAATTCTCAGCATTTCACTACAGTATTACGCATCCAGTTTGTACATTAACAATAAATGAAATCCTACATAGATTGAGGTTCAATCTCAGTCAGTTTCGACAACAACATATTAGCGCATGTCGGTAGAAAAGCCGAAAAATTGAACAGAGTGTTTGAGGGTGTTAGAAAAGTAGATGCTAGCACATTTACTGGAGTAAGTGGTAACAAAAAGGTGGAGATATACAAAGTGTGAAAGAAAGAAGAAGTATGTTTTAAATAGAGTTTGTAAGGAGGAAAGAAACAAAGCAGCACATGACAGAAAAAAGAGGAAGAGAAAAGGAAAAGAAAGAAGGAAAACGTTATACCTATAAATGATATGAGACTGACTATTTAACAGGCTATAAGTTTCACGCCTAATACCTTCTTTATCGCACAGAACACGAGCTAAGTAGGGTATAGTTGAGTTTTTGCACTTGCTAGTGCGAGCATATAGTTTTCCATATAGGCTTCTGGTCTGGCCAGGCCTGATGAGATACAAGGGGAGAGTTGTGAATGAAAAGGGTGATGTGAGTTAGATAAAATGGATTTAGCACATTTGTCACATGAGTCCAAGTGCCTGTCCACCAAAATATTAACAAGCTGGTTAAGTGGCACGTTGCTTAGCCTGCTGATAACCTTTAACATCCTGATTAATAAGGTATAGTCTTTCTTCAGTAGCCCTGGAAAAACTAAGGGTGAACAATAGAGAATAATAGGCAGAATACGAGAGTTAACGAATTGTAGGAGTAACGGCTGGGTTATACCAGAATGACTTAACTTCTTGATATAGAAGGTAAGACGGAATATTTTCTTTCAGATCATCAAGATATGAGACAACCAGGAAAGATCATCAGATAGAATGACGCCAAGATATTTTAATTTCCCACTTGGTTTCTATTTCAGTGTCATCTATGTTGCACACCTCATGAGTGCTAACCAGTTTTTTCAGGTCAGATTTATGCCTAAAGTTGAAATTGACTGTTTGATATTTAGAGGGATTTAAGGTGAGACCGTTTTTCTTGGACCACTGGCTGATTTTTGATTAAAAGCCATTTAGTTTGAAAGGTTTTTATTGTTTGATCATAACACTGACATTAATCAGTCATGACCTACACTCTCCGAAGTTGTCGGCTACTAGTGAGGGTACATGTATATTGCAGGTGGGTATTAAGGGTTAGAATTCATCGGTTATTCATTGAATTCGCATTCTGAGTGACTGAATGGTTAGCGAACCTGAATCTGTAGATTCTGGGCTTGCTACTGAAGAGTCCAGATTTGGAACGAAACACATCTTCAGAACTTCACTCCAGTTAATGAATTAACATTAGTTATTGAATCGTTGAAAGCCAGGAGGAGGTTAGTTTCAATGATATGTTTCCTTGACTTCCCTTCTGAATATTGCCTACACAAGAACTTCGGATTATAAGGCAAGCTTGTTGGCTATCCAGTGACTTCTAGTTTTCGATATAATGGTATTGCAAGCCAATATCATTATCCTTACATCCAAGTTAGTAGCCTCCACTGGTCATAACTTCTGATAAGAGCTGTACACACTCTATCCTGTAGTCTGTCACTCACTAGTGAGCAATATATTAAATTTCAAATATAAGTTCGACTCCTTGTAGGATCATGGGATCCACACTGCGGAAGATTTCCAAATTAGAATGTGACAGTTATTGAGTACTTTTTTGTTTTTAGTGTTTCTGCTGACTATTATCATTTGGTGTGTTATGAATATAGCCTAAGTCCGCGTCCAACTTTATATAGCTGGCATAAATTTCTTCAGACAAGCGCAGTCACGAAATATACTCCAAAGAGAGGGAGAGAGAGAGGGAGAAAAGGGTGATTATTCTTCGATAAATCGGTGGCTTTCAACAGTAGCATTAGACACCTACACAGTCGGGATAATAACATACAGTCTAGGAGGATAAGGGATGGTAATTACAAAGTTAGTTAAATCATAATATATATATGTGTAAAACTTAGGCACTGAGACAGAATGTAATTCAGTATTAATTAGTCTATTAGATTTATCACACAGTACGTGAAACAGTATTATTCAACAGATGACCAGGTTGCAAAAACGATTTATTCATTGGTCATACTCATAGCATCAATTATAATCACACAACTTCGAAACTTCAGTTTGATAGCTGTCTCTATTCTTTCCTATTTGTCATCGTAGGACTAGTCGAATTTCCCAGATGTCCATGTGGACAGCTGTTGAATCATTCTTATTACTCGTGCTCTCTTCTTCTATTATCAATCTCTCCTTCCACTCTGTTATGTTAGAGTTAACCCCTTACAAATGTCAGACCATTAATTTCAGTTTCCGATGTAAAAGAAAGTTAAATGAAGCTATTGGTTCCTATGATCGTTAATATGGAAACCAAGTCTGAAGTTAAGTATCTTGGATTAATTCTTTCCTCTGACCTATCCTGGTCTTCCTATGTCTTAGCGAATATTTTGTCTGACTTTTTACATTAGGAAGTTAAAGCACTCAAGGCATAACTCAACCCCTCCTCCTCTAACAGTTTGTCAACTCGTGCATCTTACCAATCGTTCTTCCTTACTGTTCACCCTTATTCTTTGCAATTGATAGTGTTCTCTGAGCTCCTTTGTTTAATTGCGGAGCTTTCATCGTCTTTCTGGACGACATCTTCAGTGCAGTATTTAGGATAAAGTGAAATGATTTAAATTTCTTCATGAGTCTCCCGGTAACCATCTTTAGATATTTATTGACCGTTTTCTATTGATTGGGATTTTAAACTTTCTGATCACCTGATTTACTTCTTATTAGTTGGTATATTTCATCTATATTAACGTGTTTATTAATTGCGTTTTCATTTGAGTACCAGGCTTCTAGGAATTCTCTGGCACATTTGGTGTTTCCTCTGTTTAAGATTTTGACATTATTCCAATCAAATTGATGTCCATGGTCGTCTGAATGTATTGATACTAAAGAATTTATATCATGTCTTTTCACGGCTGATTTGTGTTCCTGGATTCTTATTCGAAGGGGACGCCCACTTTGGCCGATGTAATGTTTGTTACAGTTCACACAATTTATTTTGTAAATGGTGTTAATTTTATCTCCCTTTTCTTTCGGATCTTTTGGTTTGCATAAGATGGAATTAAGCGATTCAGCTGGTTTGTGTGCTACATCTATATCAAACGGTTTCATTATTCTAGCCGTTATTTCAGAGATGTTTCTGATATATGGTAGGATGAATTGCTTTTTGGTCTTTGGTGATGGTTCTTTGTTGGTGCTTCCATTCGATTTTAAACACTTTTTGATGAAATTTTTTGGATAACCATTCTTCTTGAACATCGTTTGTAAGTATCTTTCTTCCATTCTTTTCAACTCTGGTGTGCTACAATGTGTTTGAATTCTTCTAAACAATGTCTGCACACAGTTTCGTCTGTGAGTAATTGGATTGTTGCTAGTATAGTTGAGTATTTGATCTGTGTGCGTTGACTTTCTATATACTTGTGTTTCTAAATTTCCTGTGTTGGTTCTCCTGATTAAGACATCTAAAAATGGGATTTTGTTATCTAACTCTTCTTCTCTTGTGAATTTGATGTCTTCAAATATGTTGTTTATTAATTTATGGGTATATTGTAAATCATTTCTCTTAATTATTACAAATGTATCATCATCATCATCGAATGAAAGCACCAACAAAGAACCATCACCAAAGACCAAAAAGCAATTCATCCTACCATATATCAGAAACATCTCTGAAATAACGGCTAGAATAATGAAACCGTTTGATATAGATGTAGCACACAAACCAGCTGAATCGCTTAATTCCATCTTATGCAAACCAAAAGATCCGAAAGAAAAGGGAGATAAAATTAACACCATTTACAAAATAAATTGTGTGAACTGTAACAAACATTACATCGGCCAAAGTGGGCGTCCCCTTCGAATAAGAATCCAGGAACACAAATTAGCCGTGAAAAGACATGATATAAATTCTTTAGTATCAATACATTCAGACGACCATGGACATCAATTTGATTGGAATAATGTCAAAATCTTAAACAGAGGAAACACCAAATGTGCCAGAGAATTCCTAGAAGCCTGGTACTCAAATGAAAACGCAATTAATAAACACGTTAATATAGATGAAATATACCAACTAATAAGAAGTAAATCAGGTGATCAGAAAGTTTAAAATCCCAATCAATAGAAAACGGTCAATAAATATCTAAAGATGGTTACCGGGAGACTCATGAAGAAATTTAAATCATTTCACTTTATCCTAAATACTGCACTGAAGATGTCGTCCAGAAAGACGATGAAAGCTCCGCAATTAAACAAAGGAGCTCAGAGAACACTATCAGTTGCAAATCATCCACCTGAGTTACAAATCTTTTCTATTATTTCACTCTTATTCTTTCCTGGATTGCTTAAAAAGGACTATGTCATACTTCGTAGAACTCTAAAGACTATCGATCAGTAAGGCGAGTGGTATCTTATTAAGCCATATCGGTGACATTGTCACTGATAAGCACTTGATGTCATGCAACATATTTTCTAAAGGAATTTTGTAAGACTATGAGCATCCACTTTACCCACAGCTCCAACCTTGTGTCTCCTCAGGTAAAACAAGAATTCTTTTCAGAAGACTTTATGCGCGTACGTCTAAGTAAAAAAATTCCACTATACCATATTTCGCTGCACGTACTTTATGTGATGAAAATAGTGTCAGGCATGAACTAACTAACCTTCTTTGCACTACTGAATAAACCATTTCCTCCACCCTTATACTCATAATCCTCTCAAATTTTTGTTTTTGTTTATTTTTTTCATAAGTGTGAACATAATTTAAGCTGTGTGATAACTATTAATTTTGTGTTTCCCCTCACCATGTTGCTATATCAACAGGACATTAGATCCAATAATTTATAACATGCTAAAATTTCCAAACTCAATCGACAATATTGTTTGAAACAAACTCACTGTTATTATTATTATTTTTGACCCTATATCGTAAACGTGGACAAATTCCTTTGGTTAATTTTGTCTTAATTCTTAATTTTACTTATATTTTAAGTAAATCAAATACGATATTGTGACAAATGCAGAGAATTCCATTCTGTATTATGAGTACTGTATTTGGAATAAAGTAGATTATTATTGTTATTATTAATAACAAAACTGTCATCTTATCCCATCCAATCCTATTGTATGTTTGTGCGAAATTGCATGTAGCGAGTGCTATAAATGAACTATTTTCCAGATTTCTTCTATTATTTGGGTCAACTGATCTAGATTTTGCTGCTAAATGTTTGTGCTCCGCTAGTCTAACTGACCCCCGCCCCATACTACTGTAACAATAGGTGGTAAGACACAGAGGCCAATGTATCTTTAATTGATAGAACCGCTGTTTATATATCTACGCTTTATATTCGTTAAACAATTACTGAGCGTGCAATTTCGGTTTACATTAAACGACGTGAAATAGAATGTTCACATAGATATACTGTATTCTGTTGCTAATGTCGAATTGAACTATGGGAATATGTGAGAATAATATTCCGTTGGCACAAATTGTCTGTATCAAATCACTACACTACTACTTTCATCTATGCAGTTGACCTGACAATCAATGCAAACTCACGAATTCTCAAACTCAATTAGAAACAAGCTTTGTCGGTTAAAGGATCCTGTGTAACCGTTAAAACAAAACAATTTAGTTTATCTAATACTCTCCTAGAATGATTGTCGGGTCAAATACATAGATCACTGTAGTAGAACAGGTGCAGTCGGACTAGCGAAGCACAAACACCTGGAAGCAGAATCCAGATCACTTGACTCGAATAAGATAAGAAATTTGGAGAATAGTTAAGCCATACCACTCATTACATGCAATTACACACAGCCATGCAATTGGATGAGATGGGATAAGATGACAGTTTTAAAATCTAACATAACAGATTGGAGGGAAAGATTGGTGGCAGAAGCTTTATTTATCAAATCAACTAGGAGAGAACACGTGTAATAGGAATGACTCAATAGTTATCCACCTGGATATCTGGAAAACTCGACTAGTCCTACGATGACAAATAGGAAGGAATAGAGAAAACTATGAAAATGAAGTTTCGAAGTTGTATGGTTATAATTGATGCTATGATTATGAACAATGAGTAAAGTGTTTTGGAAACCTGGTCATCCTTTGAATAATACTGTTTTACAGACTGTGTGATATATCTAAAATGAACAAATTAATATAGAATGAGTTGAATCATCCAAACAGCTATAATTATTGTGAATAGATCGTTTAGAATGGATTTTCTGATCAGTTCCTCCGTTAAATAATGATTTAACAAGTTTAAAAAGTTCCTTTACGTTCTCGGTGGAACAATGAGTTTCAAGCTAGAGCTTTTAATTTTCGGTGTCATTGGTGTTTATTTTTTACGGGGAAAGGGTGGCTAGCCAGCCTTATATCCAACCTTCCCTCTTTACCAGTCTTATTATTGGCTTACTGAGGTAAGGGAGTGCGTCTGTGCCCGGAGATCGAACCCCGATCCAAATGTCTGGTAGGCGACAATTCTACTGTTGTGCCACCAATGCAAAAACATTTTTAGAGCGAGTTGCATACATGGAAACCTTGCACACAACCATTAGTCCGAGTACTATCCCATCGCCCTTGGCAGATGCGGCAACAAAAGTCACAAGAACACCATCAGAGCACATGTCAGGTTAGGTACCCCAATAACAAAATAGCAATGAAATCTCTGTAAATGAGCACTGTAAAATTAGAATGATATGTAAAGCATATTAAATTTTCCCATAGTAAAATTTAGAACAACGCATTTAAGCGAACAATATTATACTTTCAATTAGATCTCATCAGGCTTAACTCTAATATACATAAGTTTACAAATATAAACCCAATCATGGCGTTTTGTCTATAGGATAATAAAATGGTGAATATAAATTGTGCAATTAGTCGTAATAGTGGTAATGATAATAGTAATAGTAATAATAATGGTCTTATCAATCATAAGGATGGAAAAGTGAGGCGATCTCTGATAACACGAATGATGAAAAACAGCATGATTAAACAAACAAATGTTAAGGTGGAAGTAGTCGGTAAAGGTTAGGAGAAACAAATCAACCGATTAAGTAATGCTAGATTGTAAGGGAAGGAAATGAAACACGTTTTTAATGAAGATGTGATGAGATTGAGGGATGATAAGAGAGAGGTTGAAAATATAACAAAGTAAGGGGTGGTGGAGTAGTCATTAGTTGGTTATGTGTTAATAGGCCAAGGAAGGGATAATGGCTGTACGAACTTCTTTTGAATGAATAATTTAGGTTTAATAGTTCGAATGCCTATCGCCTTAGCTGTATGCAGTAGACGAATACGAAGTCCACTGGAAAGATTCGATGGGATACGATGAATTACTTTGAAGCCTCTCGTTCTCTGCGCTACCTGACCACTATCAATTTAGTGTAACAAAATTGAGCTACGGATTGTTTTTTTCTGTCTTTGCTAAACCACGATGGGAGATGTTGACTAACATGTTGGTTAAGTTGTCTAGCAGTACACTCAATACAGCTGTCATCAGAGGTGGAGTTGAATTGATAAATGCACATAGATGTGGCAAAACATTCTAGCTTATCCTGCGTTTGCGTCCAAATCATTCGTCGGCTAGAGAATAACAAACACAGGTATGCTGCGTAACACGTTCTCCGTATTCTCGTTGGATGAAAAACTTCGAACGGAACAAGCTGGATTCAGGAGAAACAAGTCATGTATTGATCAAATCGCCACACTACGGATCATCAATGAACAAAGCTTGGAATGGAAGTCACCTCTCTATCTCAACTTCATCGACTTTGTAAAGGCCTTCGACAGCATCGACCGAGAGGTGATTTGGCAACTACTTCGCTACTACGCGGTGACATCGACAATTATACATCTCATCCAACAGTTATACGACAATGCTGCATGCCGAGTATTCCACAACGGAAAACTTACGGAAGCTTTCGAAGTGAGGACGGGAGTGAGGCAAGGCTGTCTACTATCGCCAATGATTTTCCTGATTGCAGTAGGTTGGATAATCCGACAGACAACGGGCCGGGCAATGAGGAAACAGGCATAAAATGAACTAACACAAAAACTTGGGGGATCTGGACTTCGCCGATGGTATATGTCTGATTTCTCACAAACCGGAAGATAAGCAAGTGAAAAGCAACTAGCTAGCAGAAGAAGCATCAAAAGTAGGACTTCAGTTGAACATAGAGAAAACAGCAGGAGGTGATGAAGATTTCTGGCCAGCAACAACAGACAAAAATCAGCACAAATGGAAGGAACTTGAAAGAAACAACTTCCTTTACCTACCTGTGAAGCATCGTTTCAACTACAGGCAGACGGGACTGACGAAGATATCAAAGCAAGAATCGGAAAAGCAAGACAAGCTTTCGTTACTCTGAAGTCTATGTGGAAGTCGACAGCACTCAGCATCAAAATAAGATCCGGATTTTCAACTCCAATGTGAAGTCAGTGCTACTATACGGATCAGAGACTTTGTGCGTCATGAAGAGCATATCAAACAAACTACAGACCTTCATTAACAGTTGTCTTCGCTCAATACTCAAGATCAGATGGCCAGAAAAGATCAGCAACAGCTATCTCTGGGAGCGAACCAATCAGGAACCGATCGTCAAACAAATAGGCAGGAAGAAATGGAGGTGGATTGGATTGGCCGTACTCTGAGGAAACCATGAAGTGACATCACTAGACAGGCCATTGCTTGAGTGGAACCCGAAAGGGAAGGGGCGAGTTGGTCGTCCAAGGGTGACTTGGAGGAGGTCATGTGAAAAGGAGATGAAAGTATACGGGCAGACCTGGAGTGAGGTGAAAAAGTTGGCAGGAAACCGAAGACAATGGAGACTCGCAGCTGAAGCCCTATGTTCCTCTAGGAATTAAAAATATAATAATAATAATAATACTCCTTGAAAGTCATTGAAATTAAATCTCACTTGATAAGTCACCATTAAATTGTAACTTAATAAGTAGAGGCCTTTTACGTGTAGACAGAGTCTCAGGTTTTCTCTCTGATGTATTCATATGCTTCTTTATGAAACTACTTGGATAGCCCATCTCCGTCAAGGAATCGTGAATATATTCAAATTCCTTTTGATAGAGGTCATCTGTACCTATCATTCTTTCTTGCTATACTCATAAGACCTTTAACAACATTTCTTTTATATTTAATGGACACGTAACTAAGGAAGTGTGTGTATTGCCCTGTGAATATACTTTTTCTGTACATGCCTCTCCCAAGTGACCCATCTTCTCTCCCTACTTAGCAAGACATCCAGGAATTTCGTTTCTAAATAGTCTTCAATGACTGATATTTTTCTTTTGATATTTAAGGCACTATAGGCATTGGTGCATCATATCGGCATGCAGGATCAATGAGAAAAATTGAAGCTTTTCATGGTGAAGATAAAGAAAGTGAAGTACATATTATCAGCAATGGTGAGTTTCCTTAAGATATTAATTGTATAAGAGTTTAATTTGGTCACATAATCATCATCATCATCATCATCCACATAGGAGATCTGGGATCGATTCTCGACCGACACACACACACACGCATACATAGACCTTTGTCATTTTACTAGCCAGTGGTAAGAGTAGAAGAAGCAAGTAACTGCACCACAGCCATAGAGACTTCAAAACTTGAAGCCTCACACATTATCAGCAGTTTATGGGATTCATTATAATAAAGGTTTTCTTGTATTTCCCAATGAATGAAAAACAAAACCATATTGTTTCTACTGATGTTTCGCTATTTTATGCTGACGCCATTAGCTTTATCAAAGTATTATTAAACCGGAATTTGCAAAATCTCAGCATATATATAACAAAGAATTAAGAGGTGAGAAAACAGACAAGTTAGGTCAAGTTAAAAGGACATATTGAAAGTCAAAATAACAATGAAGATGACTAAATCAAATATCAAAGGTAATAGTACATCTGTTATGATATCAAAATAAAGTTTACTAACTTGATCATCGTTCGTCTATCTGGGGTTGTATTTCGTTGTCAAGTTGGCCAATTGGTAAAGATAACAAATCTAGGTGTAGATTGTTGGATTTGATAAGTGTGTGTAAAATTATAAAAGTAGTGTGTGTTTACATAATGAAATTGCTTATCACATTCGTTTTCACGAGATGATCACGGATTGATATCAGCTAGAGAACCACTGAAAACCAGGGAGTACTGGAAAGCTGCTGTTTCATCCTAGTTTTGGAATCGTCATCAGTACGCATCCACTGGGGTCCGAACATTCGTGTTGGTTTTGTCACTTCATGGGGGAGGGGGATGTTGTAACCAGGTCAGATTCTTTTTTAGTTCATCATTCCTATTCAAACAATATGCACTCCACTTTATATGAAGTGCTTCTGATCTTAGACGTTCTTTGTAATTTCTGAAGTTTTTCTGGATTTTCTGGGACCAACTATTCATAAGATATTATTAGTAATAATTATTATTCCGCTAGCTTCCAAGTATAACAAAGGGTTTCAGAGGGAGGTCGCCATTTCACTATGTACTTATCAGTTTATTTTAGCTGGCTTCATGATCACCCACGAATCGTCATCTCATCCTAACACTCTTGGATGTCTGTTTTGTTGCTTCCTATTCTGGTTCCGCCCAAGGATCTGGTTTGTGATGTAAACCCAATAACCTTATCAGAGTATGTCCAGTCTATTTGGATTTTCCCTCTTCCTTTCTGTGGTGGCTAAACAGTTCCTGTCAGAGTTCAGTATTGCTAAACCTTTCTGGGCTAGCCATCTCATTTTCAGTATCGATGGAAGGAATCTCTTCCTGAAAGTCTTCAGTAGCCTTTTGGAAAAGCTTTTAGCCATACATAAGAACTGCCTCCATGAAAACTGATAGACTGGATTTCTTCGGCCTATTATTATTACAGACTGTCCAGAGATATGACCAGGGTCAAATAGACGGAGTACACTGGCGCCATTTAATATCTGTAAGCCCTTTAATCTCTACTTCTTGGGTTAATTTTCTGAAATTTGGACAGTAAGCTTCTTTTCTGTTCTTCTAAAGTATATGCTTTGTCAAATACATGTAAACTTGTAGATGCAGTTACAAGTAATATGATGAAATGGGAATTAGTTCACTTCACGCCCTAGCGTCTGAATATTTTCTTCTCAGAGTAGTGTTCATTAATATTATTGTTTCCTTTAATTCCTCGGAGAACATGAGGCTTCAGCCGCACGTCTCCATTGCTTTTGGTTCTCTGCCGACATTTTCGTCACCTGGCTCCACATCTACCCACATGCTTTCATCTCCTCTTCGCATGACCTCCTCCATGTCACCCTCGCACTGACAACCAGCTGACTCGCCGCTTCCTATTCGGGTTCCATTAGAGCAATGGCCTGGCATGTGATTTCACATGATGGTTTTCTCAGAATATGGCCAGTCCACCTCCATTTTTTCCTGTGTATTTGTTGCACAGTTAGTTAATTCATTGTCAGAGATCGATTCATGTTGCTGATCTCTTCTAGTCGCCTATCTGATCTCGAGTAGTATTGAGCGAAGACAACTGTTAATGAAGGTCTGTAGTTTGTTGAAAGTGCTTTTCGTGACGTGGTGCCAAAACTCTGATCCGTATAGCACGTAGCACTGACTTTACACCGGAGTTGAAAATCTGGACCTAATTTTTCATCCTGAATGCTATTAATCTTTACACAGACTTAAGAGTAATGAAAACTTGTCTTGCTTTCCCGTTCCTCGCTATGACACTCTAATCAGTTCGATTCGCCTATAGCTGAAACGATGCTTCCCAGGTAAGTGGGTCGGTGAAGGAGGTTGCTTCTTTCATACTCCTCCTATTTATGGTGATTGTTGTCTGTTGTTGTTGTTTCTGTTGCTGTCGGCCAGGAATCTTCATCATCCCCTCTGTTTTTTCTCTATGTTCACCTGAAGTCCTATTTTATCCGGATGCTTCTTCTGCCAACTTGTTGCTTTTCACTTGCTTATCTTCCAGTTTTTGAGAAATCAGACATATATCAAATCATCGAAGTCCAGATTCTGTAGGTTTTTTGTGTGAGTCCATTTCATGCCTGTTTCCTCGCTGCCCCCGCTGCCTGTCGCATTATCCAATCCACCGCAGTCAGAAAAATTATTGGAGATAGTAGGCAGCCAGTTTGTCTTACTCCCGTTTTCACTTCGAAGGATTCCTTGAGTTTCCCGTTTCTTATCACTTGGCATGCAGCATTGTCGGACAACTGTTGGATGAGGTATATAATTGTTGGCGCTACCCCGTAGTAGCGAAGTAGTTGCCACACCACTTCTTGGTAGACGCTGTCGAAGGCCTTTTCAAAGTTGATGAAGTTGAGATAGAGAGGTGACTGCCATTCCAAACTTTATTCAATGATGATCCGTAGAGTGGTGACTTGCTCAATATATGACTTGTTTCCCCTGAATCCAGCTTGTTCCGGTCGGAGTTTTTTATCCAGGGCTTGTTTGATTCTCTGCAGGATGATGCAGCTTAGTATTTTGCTTGGGATAGGCAGAAGCATATTGCCGCGCTAGTTATTGCACTGACTTCAGTCTGCTTTCTTTAATAGTTTTGAATAGATAGTCTCCCTTCCAAGTGTCTAGTGTGTACCTAATTCAACAGACAATTTCAGTACTTGTGTACTTATTTGTTTTAAACAGAAAAATAGTTATTAGTAAGCCAACTCAGATCAACATTCTGATTGCTCGGTGTATTAAAACAGATTACGGAGCAAATACTGTTAGGCTCAGATCTCTGCTCAGCTAAGCAGTAATCCTGTAGTGCGAATAGCCGAACATCTCCCTGTGTCGAGTTTGGATGATAAACCGTGTACCCTTGGCTTAACAAATCGACGACTTAAACAATAAAAATCACCACCCAGTCTTGACTAATAATGAAACCGTAGGCTAATTTATTTCAAAACTAAATTAAAGTATATGCCAGTTAACTTGTGGTTTAAGCATCATTGAGAAATATTATCAGTATTTCAAGATTGTTCACGAATTGACTTCAGCTAGAGAACCATTGAAAGCCGACTAGGGACTACCGGACATCTGTTTCGTACTTACCCGGGACTCCTCATTGGTATGCACCCGTGACCCGCCAGAGATGCAATTTAGAGCCTTCAAATTACAAACCAAGCTCGTTGATCACTGTTCCACTAGGACAGAATCTGATGGCAAGCCGCTACCGCCTGCCAACATCATCCGAAAGTATCTGTCTTAATCCCCCTGACCCAGTGGATCCCACTTATTACCACCAAACACTGAATTCCCAATGGCTAAATGGTCAATGAGCTAACTGCCTACCTCAGGTTTTTGGCTTCTGTAATCATGGGTGTGTACTACTTATGAATCTCAAACCAGCTATCCAGGACTCCTTGATTTTCAATGTTTTTCTAACTGATATCGATCCGTGATCGACACTGAAACCAATCAAACCCCTACAAATTAACACTTGGAAATTTAAGGAAATACTATTTCTTCTTTAAGAAATATGGGGAGGTTGATTCGTATATGAGATACAATATGTCATTCAATCAAGAACAAATGAACCAGCAAACAGATCGCTTCTTCTTGTTACTTCACCTCAAAGCTGTGCAGATATTTAGGAGTACGGGGTTATTGTGAGTTAGTAACGAAGCAAATCAAAGTGCATGAGTAATAACTATGTTTGAAAAATTAGGAATTATCTTACGTAATCAAGAAGGTTGACAACTAATTAGCTTAGTGATGAATAATCGTTCGTAAATAGTTAATATAAGAAGGGAGAATAAAAGATTGAATTTAGGTCGCAAAAATATAAGACGAACTACACAGAGCTTGTTGTACGATTATTCACGAAGACAGGGATGGAATGAAATGTTTCTGGACACAAAGTTCTGTTTTCTCCTTAAGAATTGTTAAGGTTTCTGCTGTGTGATCAGAATTAGTAATATCTTTCAGAATTCAGCCGTCTACAGTTCTACATTCTTCAGACAACAGTTGTAGTAGATGTTCATCGGCACTTCTAAACAACTTCCTGCTGGTACGGCCCATGTACTTAGCTCCACAGGAGCAAGTGAATTGGTAAATACACATTGAAGTTGCTAACAGTGGGATCTTTGAACTTTGATGTTTTGGTGAACAGGAGCATGTGTGGACAAGCTGAGGCTTCGGAATAAACTTCTGTCAAATGACTGTCAACAGATGGCTTCGGAAAACTTCACTATTTGTATCTTCCCTGAATTTTAGATTTACAATTAGTTTCCTGAAGTACCTGTCTACCTCTTTAGATGTCTATCGATGAAAGAGGTTGGATATCCATTTTTTGCGATTAGAGTTCTTCTGAGGGATTCCAATTTCGTATTCATTGCGTCTTCATTGCATATGGGATGTATTCTAGTTTCAAGAGAGGCGATGAAACTTATTCATCTTCTCATAGGTACAACACTTTGATATTTTGTCAGCTGTCCATTCCATTTTAGTTTGTAATAGGTCAATCTTTGTAGGCTTCTATCCGATCGCCTTTTAAGTTGTATATCTAGGAAGGATAATCTACCTCGTGAATCCGCATCAGTTTGAAAACCCATTGACTCATAAGCGTTGTTGAAGATTTATGGGATTCTGTTTAGGCCAGTATTTTCATCTATATACCACTTGCAAACTTCGAACCATTTGATTGTTGGTAGGGGAATATTTGACTGTAGGCACGTCATGAAGCGGTCGGCAAGCAACGGACCGAGTGGAGAACCAATGGCTACTCCATCTTTCTGTTGGTATATTTTGCCAGTGCTTAAGAAATGAACAGTGAGTGTGCACCTGAGGATTAATTCTTTGGGTAACTCTAAACTATAGCAGCCCAAACCGAAACTACCTAGCGAATGGACAAGTAACTTTGACAACGATAACATTGACCAATCAGAAGGCTCTATGAAAACAGCGCATAATTTTAATAAATCGTTTATATAAAAATAATGCAATGTTAAAAAATAATTACAAAGGATAACGTTCTCGTATGAGTTCCAAAAAATCCTACAATTTTCTCATAGGAGTCTTAATACCTATGTTAAACCAAGTCCTGTAGATAAACTCATCGTGATAACTGTATATCATTGCATTTCTTGATCCATTCACAGATCTGATCCGTTTTTTTGAGGTGACTCCAATAGTACATCTGCACTGCGATTAGGAATCGCCTCAATGTATCCCTTGTGGAGGTTGGTGTCATATATGCCCAACATCCACTGCAGATTTGCACTTAACCTCCCTCGATTATATTTTCTTTTTATCAACACCGTCCCGTCCACAGCATCCATAAGTGCTCCTGGATAATACAGAATCACCTGATAAGTTGCTCAGGGTTATTTGTCCATTCGCTAGGTAGTATCGGGTTGGGTTGCAATAGTTTAGAGTTACCATTTTTTGCTATGTTTAGTTAGTGTACCAACGTTCAGATTATTTGAGTCTATAAACTCACACAGATAGCATACAGTTTCCATATCTATAAAAAAAGGTATACTTTCATAACTGGTTATCAAGATAATAATTATGTGAAATACTTTATTTATTTTTCTCAGAACAATACATAGCAATTAAATGGCCAAGTTTACAACTGGTTGAAAGTGAAACGGAGGATGTTGGTAAGTAAATCATTTCAGTAGCTGTTAATCATGTTTTTAAATTTCATTTTATAAAGAGAAATGTCTGTGTTGATTAACCAATAGACAGTAAGCCATTTCATGCGTTTAATCCTTATTGTCACTGCTGATGAAAGCCTATGTATTAAGTCGAAAATTTGACTGCCAAGCCTAAATGACGCATCATCATCAATTCCTACTAGGTGGTTGTGAGTCAGATAGTTCAGTGGTAGCAAACACACCAAGCACCATGCCACACATGCCACAGGGTTAGATTCCCCGGTTGAAGTACTCCTGAACCTCACACAGCCAGTAGTAAGCCTGGTAAGGAGGTAAGGTTAGTTGTGAGGCTAGAGGTTCAACGCCGGGCAGAAAGAACACGACTGCTTCTAAAACTTCAAAGTTTGAGCTTGAAGCCTTATGTTCCAATGGGATAGCAGGGGAGTAGAAAAAGACTAGATGGTTGGAGGACAAGCAAATACGCCTTGCTGACGAATTAAAATAAGCACAGAAAACCTACTTTTAGAAAGAAATTCCTGTCCATTGATAGAATTCAGAAAGTATTTCTGATAAGAATCAACTGAAATTGGGATCAAAAATTTTAAGTTACTGGCTACTAAGATCAATAATGACTTTATGGACAATCGTATTGGACACTTAGATTTCTTTTGATCAGACGGAAATAATCCATTCCACCACTGACCTAGCCTAAACTGTTTTGAAAATATATGTTCATAAGATGTACATTTGTTTGATAAAGTCATTCTTATAGATACACGTGGCGACGTTGACTTAGCGGTAGAACGCTTGCCAACCATGGATGTAGTCTGAGATTCGATCTCAAGCTGACGCGCTTTCAAACGTTGCTAGACCTGGTAGTAAAGACGATAAATAAGTGAAGTTTGGCGTGAGGCTAGCAACCCCACCCTGAAAATTCAAAGCTAAAGAAAGATTAAAGCCATATTTTTAACTCGGAACGTAAACGAATAAAATAATAATAAGATAAATACACACATCTAGATCAGTCTTTGTTTTATGGTACTTTTGTGGCCCAATAAAGCAGAAGATATGCAAATAGAACAGTTATATTTAGCGGTTACTGGAGGAGTTTATTTACTTTCATTATCGCTGCATTGTGTATGGGTTGGTGGCACAGAGGTAGAATGCTCGCCAACCACACATGTGGTTCGTAGTTTTGATTCTCGGCCACAGACGCACTCCTTTACCTCGTAAAACCAGTAATAAGACTGGTAAAAAGGGAGGGTTGGTCATGAGGCTGGCTAGCAACCCCATCCTGTAAAAAAAGAACACCACTGCTACCGAAAGTTCAAGTCTCCAGCTTTAAGCTCTATGTTTTACTGGGAACGTAAAAGAATAAAAAAATATTAAAAAATCGTCGTATTATTATTTATGATTATTATTCTTATGGGTTCCGATGGAAGATACGGCTTTAGCAGAACATCATTATTGTGTCCATGTCAATCTAGAAGCGATACCCAACATTCTATTTCCCAGCCGGGTTCCATTACAACAGTGGATTGGAGTGTGACGTCATTCGGCGATCTCCTCGTCTGTCTGTGTCTTAGTCATCTCCATTTGCATCATATTACTCCCATGTTGAGCATTAGGTCCTTCATTGATTCATCCCCAGAGTTTCTTGTTCTTAATTCTTTCTAGCGGAGGGTCATCTAATCTTCATTTTGGAGTCACAGAAGTCAGCTATTCATAAGGGCTTGCAGTGACTTGCTGCCCAAATTTCTTACTCGTATAAAAGAAGTGACTGACTAGAATATTGGCATTGGAAGTCGATGTACCTACACTTTATTTCATTCGGCCGTATCAACTTCATCACCTGCTGTGTGGAAGGGACGACTTTATTTAATGAAGAGATTCAAATAAGAGACTCCTTCCAGTGAATTTATTAACAAGCTGTTGTACACTAGTATATATCCATGTTCTTTTCGAAATAATAATTTGAAATGAGACAAAATATTTCCGATTATCATCTTATTTAAACATCTAGCGGTAATAACTTGGACGAAGCAATGAGAAGATGTAATTTTTCTGAGTCGTGTAGTGTGTATTTGCGTAACACATTTCGAACAAAAGAAGACGTCCAGCCAAGAGACTCTTTTCGACGGCGAATTCATTCACATAGCTGTACAATCGCATTTATATATAAATATTTGTGTGTGTGTGTGTGTACATGAGATTTGTCAAGTTTAGGTAATTGATCAAGTGATACAAGAATAATCTAATACAGAAACAAGTTTAATTAGACAGAAACTAAAGTAAAATTGAATTAGTAGTCTACTTAGTCTCTACCTGTAATTACCTCTTTCGCTACCCTGACCTAAGCTGAAACATTTTAGTCAATTATATTACGTCATATAACTTACTGAGCCAATCTTACTTTAGTTGCTGTCTAATTAAACTTGTTTCTATATTAGGTCATTCTTGTATTGCCTGATCAATTACCTAAACTTGACAAATCTCATGTACACACACACACAAATAATTATATATAAATGCGATTGTACAGCTATGTGAAAGGAGTCTCTTTGCTGAACGTCTTCTCCTTATCAAATGACTCCATGGGGATTTTTAAGCTATTTTTCGAACAATCTGATCCATTACACACGGACTTGTCGTAGGAGTATATATGAAATTATAAGAGTTAAGGGTGGGAAAATTAAACTCAGACCAAGTTAAAAGAACATATTGAAGGTCGAAATAGCAATGAAGATCACTAAACCAAATAACAGAGATAACAGAACATCTACACTAGCTGATATCAAAAGAAAGTTTACCAAGGAAGCTAGTTTTAGTGTGGCAACGAATTGTTGCTGATGAATGCATAAAGGTGGTTTAACCTTCCTAATTGCTAGCTAGGGTTTCCAAAAACTTTAGGATGCGTCCCAAACACGTTTTATAGATAAGTTTAAGAGATCTGTACACATCAGTTTTATGTCCTGTCTCTATATAATATGTTTCACAATAGAGGAGCCAGGTCGTCATCTGTTCTCATCAATAATAATTTCTGGAGATTCTGTTTGCTGATGGAACCATTTAGGAATATGCTCTGAAGTCAGCCCTTAATTCCAGAAATCGATGAGTCCTCCCTACGTATGTGTGTCCACACGTACATTTAAAGTGGTAGATACACTGAGATGTGACATCGTTTTTTGCATGTTCATAGGGCTTAGGCGGATTGATTTATCGGCTTCACATTCTCAATTATCATGATATTAGCTGTATAAGAAGACTTTTTAACAGCAGTGTTCAATCTTTGTCTAATAACCTGGTGAAGTACTTTGTAAAATAGTCCATCAAATGCATAGATGAACGAAATATTCTCACATCCAGTCATAAAAAAAGACTTAAATGGAGAAGAAAATTATCTTTTTGACGAATCATTTTCATAAGCCGTACAGTCGTAATCACATTTTCCATAGTTGGTTTGTAAGGATTAGTTACGTTTTTACGAGTTGATCACCGACGGATGTTAGTTAGAGAACCACTGAAAACCGGGGATTACTGGACAGCTGTTTCGTCAGTCTAGTTTGGGAATCATCGGCAGTACGCACCCACTACCAGGATTCAAACTCAGCACCTTCCCGTATAAGGCAAGCTCGTATACCGTTCAGCCACTGGGACCCAATTCATTATCGAGTGCATGAATTATAACTTCTACCAGTTCGTGATTTAGCGCGACCACATTCAATGTCGTCGGTGGGATGCTAAATCACGAATTGGTAGAAGTTAGAATTCATGCACTGGCCAATGAATGGTGACTGAATGATGACCCAAAGGTTCAAACCCCACTGAGTGCGTAATTATATTTAACAAAAAAAATCATAAGACCAATCAAATACTGGTAAACTTTGTCCCTGAAAAATGTACTACGTTACGTGAAGTTTAACCTAGAAGAGGTGACTAAGTGAACGTTAGAAAAGAGTCGGAATCTGGCCTGACGGAAAGCAAATGCATAAATCTCAAAAGGCAGGGTTGTCTCAATAATCTGAATAGCAGGTAAATAAAAATGTTACGTAACAAGGTGATAATTATAATAAAACAACATTTCAAAGAAATTACATGGAATTAAGTAAATAAAAAGGTGAGGTAATACCGGATATTGTTCATACTGAAATTAATAATAACAATCGACATACTAAGACAGAAGCATAAAAAGTGGGCGAAGTTCAACAATAACGCCCAACTGATGTGAACACACGAGTAATTTTCAGCTGGTCAATCATAAAAACAAGTGACTTTTGCACAAAAATTGGCCTAAATTTACAAGAAAATGTATGAAAACACACTAAACAGGTTGTTTTTCTCTGACATGGCTTAAAAATACGTTCCAGTTATAATGAAGAGTATCAGTTACTAAGTTAGACTAGCTACTGTACATGTATTCACCGAAGTGGCTGAAGATGAGCTGTTTTCGCGAATCGTTTATCTCTCTTATCTTGTTGTCTAGTCCTCCTCAAAAGCCCTCGGTTGAATTCCTATGATTTCCAGTAAGAGGATCGATGACTACTTATTAGGGAAATGTAGATAATAAAACATTCAAATAAGTGACATCAACTCTAAATCTATCCCTTATTGTAACCCTAACTCCAATGCTGATTTCAACCCTAAACTTAACACTAACCCTAACCTTAATCCTAACCCTAATTACAACCCTTATCCTAACCGTAAGTCTAACCCTAACCCTAATTATGACCCTGATCTTAACCCTAACGAGCTATTAACACATTGTCCAAACAGTACTCAAAAGTGTGATCTGAGTGAAATTTGCTCCTTAGTTGGTGAATAGCGTTGATATTTCAGATATGATAATGACAGGTGCCGTTATCCAACGACCAACATGCGTTTAAGTTCATTGGGGCACTCGCACTCCTGGGACGCTATTGTTCAACTTCGCCACAAAGTGAATGAACGAAACGAAAAATAAGTCTGGCCAAAGTATGAATGGGGATTATCATACTTTAGCATAGATTGATTAAGATCACTAAATTTGGAGAAGTTGAAGAATTTTTTTCTGGATACAGAGATCAAGATTTTCTATTTCGATCATCCAAGCTTTAGCAACATAGATGAGATGGATATGTAGTAATTTGGGCAGGTTAGTTTACGACTTGCAGATAACTTAAAAGGAATAGGCTGCAGGAATAAAGTGGAGATCAGTATCGACCAGATATTGATATGCAACGCTTTTTATAGCCATACTTCCATTTCTTCAAAACCACACACACACACACTGGTTAGTATTCTTGCACACTGTGGGACAAAACCACCGTTGGATGGCCGACATAACCATATGCATAAGAGCAGGTAGACCGATAAACACACAATGTCTTAACCAGCCTACGCTCAACAGTTATAATCTTAATTCCTACTCTGTCCATATTCATTTTTCGTTTTATTTATTTAGCTTATATACTCTTCCATCATTATTGTTACTGATATTATGGATTCCAGAACAACACATATGAGCACACAATATTATTTAGATATGATGGAGAAGATTTGCAGCTCAGGTGGATGACTTTGATTTGGTAGTTTATCATCTACAAAATAAATTTTAACAACTGCGAAAAACACTACACTGGCCAAAGTGGATATCCCTTTCTTCTTCGTAAGCTAGCTGTCAAAAGACAGGATGTCCACTCCCTCATATCACTACATACAGATAACTACGAACATCAATTCGACTGGGACAACGTTCAAATATTAGACGGAGGAAATACCAAGAATGCTAGAGAATTTTCAGAAGCCTGCCTGGTATTCCAGTGGACTGTCAATCAATAGACACATCGAGATAGACAAAATTTATCAACCGATAAGAAAGAAACCTCGCACACAAAGGGTCAAAGTTCAGGTCAGAGAAACGATCAGTTCCAATACAAGTAGCATATAAGGTGTGAAAGCACACAAAAACAACCAACCACGTCCTAGGTCACCAGGAGAGATGATTAGTAAACTCGTGGAGAAATCTAGAAGCTCACTTGAAATTGAAGTATGCGCTGAAAGAAAGTCGCCTACTAGGGCGATGAAAGATTCGCAAATTAACTATTCAGCTCAGAGAACACAACCACATCAAAAACAATATTATTTTCAATTAGACCTCACTAGGCTTAATTCTAATATGCATAACTTCACAAATCATTATTAAACGTAAACAAGTTACAGAGATTTGTCAATGGGATGATAAGAGCGTGCATATAAATTTTGAAATAAGTCAAAATAATAATAATAAAGATATAATAGCAAATAAAATATCTACTAAAATTAGGAAAATTCCACAAAAATTTAGGATCATTCAAACCTAGATGGCCAAAGTAACGATAATATCTAAACTAGCAAAAATCAAGCTTCTTAATGTGGATCCCAACAGTCTCAATAATATTTAGTGATCGAACTCTTAAGGCAAAGTTAATATTTGTTGGTATGCGGTAAATGACCCTGATAACCTGGTTAACATCAATCTTGTGTTCTTTATCCACAAGATGAGATAGAATAGCGCTATATGAATAGATTTTGTTTGTCCTTTACTTAACCACAACGTAGAGTGATGTTCAGAAATCCGACGCGAAACATGCTTAATAGTACGGCCAATATAACTAACTGGCTCACACCACAGGAGCAGTTAAATTGGTAGATACACATGGAAGAGGTTAAATTATATTATGTTTATATTATTATATAATTATTATTATACTAATTGATATGTATCCATATATATATATATATATGTGTATGGTGGTCTCTCTCTTTCTGTTGCTCTCTTAGTCTGTGACCATTTCACTTTGGTGAACCTGTCTCCTTTAACTATGTATATTCCCCTTATATTATATATAATATGTGTGTTTGTTGACATGTCTGCTATATTTTGTTATGTATATATGGATCGATACTCCATTATAATTAGCCAATCATGTTAAGACTGCCTATTGATTTGTTCACACACTTGTTCGGACATTCATATATATTCTTTCTCTCACACTCTTGTGTGATATTGATTCTCCTTGTGTTTGGAAAATAGAAGTATCATCGCAAACCTAGTGGTCTTCCGATTTCCGTCTTTCTTGCGTCAGGACTATTAAATTCTCCACCAGTAAATAACAATAATGTGGCAACGAGTACATAATACTAATTATGTTTCTTAATTACAAATTCCTTTTTCGTCATTATAAATGCTTTAGAACTAATTTTCTTTTTTAGCTCAGGTGGTATGTATTATACATTCGGATGGCAATATAACAATATACTTTGAAAAAGTAAGTTGAATAATATGGGTCAGTTCATTCGTTACGTAGATGGACAGTTAAATTCTGTGAACTCTAGAAAACTTCTGTTTTATTCTGATATAATTGAAGTGCATTGTTATTATTATTACTTTGATTCGTCTGAGTGTGTCCTTAGGCTTCTGCAGAGCATATTCATTTCACGGCGATTTCCATGATCCTTTTAAGTTGGCTTCACGATTGCTCAAAGACTTTCATTCGGCCAATCCTAACATGATCTCCTTCATATCATTCTCGGAACCAAGATTAACTCGTCGTTTCTAGAATAGTGGCCCGGTGTGCGATTTCAATCAGTAGACTTCTCACACCAGTATTTCAAAAAAACAGCCGCTCATTTAAGAACGCGCATATTAGTATTAAGTTACTGGAATACTAATTTATCCCACTTGCTTGCTTCCCACTGAAAGTATTTAGTATAGGCATCAGTTGTTGGATTTCAATTACTAAAATATTAGTAGTATTAAATAAATAATACTGTTTTGATAACCTGAATGACTTCATGAATTGTAAATAAAAATCGCATACATTTATTCCCCTGAGTGAATTTGAACAAAGCGAGAACAAGAGTAGAGTTTGCAGAATAAGATGATGCTACCATCATTGTTTATTTCGTTGCTTTCTCGTCACCTGCTTACAAGTAAAAGTGCCTTTTTAGTATATTTACAGAAACAATTTTAACATAATTGCTTGCACAGAGTTCATTTTAAACAAAAATCAATCGATCACTATATAAATACAGTAATTATATATATATGTAATATTAAACACTATTGCGAACAATAATAATCATACACAATGGAACTTTTCGGTATTACGTATTCAGATTAAAGAGAGAGTAAATATATCCGGTTACCAGGAAATAGAAAGACTGATAACAGCTTCTTTCTGAAAGCATAAATCAGGTTTCAGACGCTTGATGAAGATAACTCTTTTGCTTATTGATAATTTTTAACGATTTTGCGAAGTCGACCTGATGATCCGTATTGATTAGATGCCTGGCAGTGACACTGTTTACAGCATTTGTTCCCTTTAGACATAAGATTTTTGGTGAACGTTCAGAAAATCGTAGATATGCCCTTCTTTCTGTTCTTCCAATGTAACTGCTCCTGCAGATACATGCGTAGGATATCTATCGATTTTTGGATTGCACCAAAGAGCAAGTTGTTCGACAGACAGGGACGAGGTTAGCTGCAGGATAGGCTCTGGCTAGTGATGTACTCAGTCTTCTGTTGACCATTGCTGCAATGTTTTCACCTTTATAATCAGACTGAATGTAGATTGGCTTTTTCACCACAGTGATTTATGTTACATTTGAGACTTCAGATCTTCCATAATTGGTATTGAATCTTTGAGGGTAACCATTGCTCTTCAATATCTTTTCAGGAAACACAAATTCTTCCTCTAATTTCTTTATGGAGCAAATTCTCCTCTCTCTATAGTACAGAGTCTTGACTAGTCCGCATTTAAGGCTATTTGGAAAATATATAAATTATTACTGTATGCATATATTGATTGATTTTTGTTTAAAATGAACTCTGTGCAAGCAAGTATGTTAAAATTGTTTCTGTAGATATACTTAATATTGACTATGGCCTGTAAGCAGCTGATGAGAAAGCAAACATATAAGCAATGATGGTACCACTTTATTCTGCAAAAACTGCTGTTGTTCTTGCTTTATTCAAATAAAAGTCTTTTAAAAATTATGGTGGCAGCAGCATATTTTTTCTGTGATCTCTATCTGAATCCATTTTCAATGCTTCTGGAGGAATTCCATCCAGGTCTACTGCCTTCCAGGCTGGTTTTCACTAACTTGTAGGATTAGTGTTCACTGACATTTCTGTAACTGTTGGTGGTATAAACAGTCGTAAGGCCGATTAAAAATGATCGTACAAAAAGACATATAATGCAGATATGCAAATGAGATCCATTATTCCACCACTAATTATAATCAATGAATGTATCACGTCCATTTAAAACACGTAAATAAGACAAAAAAATAAAAATAATCTCGTTAAAATAGGTATTTTTTTTAAACTGTGGCGCCATAAACTTAAAATTGCAGTATGACAATATATAACATCCACTGAACATTGAATCTTGTCGGTTTAAAGTGATTCAAAGTTGCCCGTTGTGTAATTGTCTGTTCATTTTGGCCTACATGAGAGTTTATACTGGTAAAATAATGATGTATTTCAATTGAATTACTGGCTAAAATAATATATGTTTCATCTAATAACCTGAAAAATATTCACAACCGAAATGTAGTCTTCATAATTCTTTAACGACCATCTCTTATAAATCAAACATATTTCAGGTATTTTAACAAACAAGTAAACGTGATTGTATGGATGATTTCATCTTGAGCTGATATAAATTAGAGAACCATTGAAAAACCAACAGGCAGTACTGAACAGATATTTTGTTAGCCTAGTTTGGGACTCTTCATCAGTATGCATCCACCATCAAATTTTGGACCCAGGACATTCTGGTTACAAGGCGAGGCAGCTCGTAGACCATTAAGTCACTGGGACCCAATCCAGTGGCCCATGAATTCCAACTTCTGCCAATTCATGACATAGCGCGGTCACTTCTCAGTGCCTTAGTGGTCTACGAGCTGCCCTGCCTTGTGACCAGTGGATCCTGGGTTCGAACCCTGGAGGCGGGTGCGTACTGATGAATAGTCCCAAACAAAGCTGAAGAAGCAGCTGCCCAGTACTCCTTGCAGGTTTTCTAATGGTTCTCTAACCGATGTCATATCATCCCTACAAACCCAATGCTTGAAAAACGTGATTGTTCACTACACCTTTAGAATTAGGAAATCTGACATATATGTTTAACTTCATACAATTTTTCCTTATTAATAAATTTGAATAAAACAAGAACGACAGATGTACCCGGATAATTTGAGCTCATGTTTTTATTTTTATTATTTCGTGGATTCTTCTCACCTCGTTAAAACCTTAACAATACCAGAATTACAAATTGAACTTTAAATGTAAACATCCTTTTTACAATGACAATGAGTAATTGATTGATCTGAGAGCAACACTGATCAGTAATGACATGGGCTGTTGAACAATTGAGAGTGAAAAGGATCGACTATATCTAGAAAAATTGCATAACTGAGCTTGGAAACAAAAGGACAGACAGAATTCGATAGACGTTTTGTGGGTAGAAAAAAATTTCAACTGGAAAGAGTATAGAAATTAATAAGTTACGTAATCACGGAAATCACGATTTTATAAAATAGACAAAAAAGAGAGTGAAAGAGAAGGATCAGTCATGTTTTGACGGAAAAATCAAGTTTTCCAAACAGGACAGAAGATGACGCGGTGAAATTTGTATGCTTCGTTGTCACCAAGGCAGTGTAAGACATAACACTGTCTCTTTCTGCCTACATTGATTTGGTTTTAGCCACTTCTATAAATAGTCGGTCCTTTTCACTCTTAATTATTCAACAACCCATGTCATTACTGACCAGTGTTGCTCTTTTTTTTCTTTCACGTTCCACAGTGCAACATAGGGCTTCAGGCTAGGGGCTTGAAGTTTCTGTAGCAGTAAAGTTTATTTTTACAGGATGGGGTTGCTAGCCTCATACCCAACCTTTCCTCTTTACCAGGATTATTTCTGGCTTAGCGAGGTAAATGAGTGTATCGGCCGGGTATCGAACCCCGGACTGTGTGCATGGTCGGCGAGCGTCCTAACCGCTATGCCACTGACGCACAGTGTTGCTCTTAATTACAATCAATTACTCCTTATCATTGTAAAAAAAGAGTGCGTTCACATGTTTAATTTAATTTATAATCTTTGTATTGTTCAGGTTAGAACCAGTTAGTTGAGAAGAATCCACGAAATAAAATAACTAAAGGCATGAGCACAGACTATCCGACACACTTGTTGTTCTTGCCTTTTATTTAAATATATTTGATTTCTATCATTTCATGATTTAAGCGCGTCCACAAACCATTGTCATAAGCGAGTACACCTGTTCTCACTCCCAACTGAGTGGACCTCACCGGTCGCGAATTTCCACTAGAATCCTGGTCAATTAACTGGAGCCAGTCAACTGGTGAACATCAGACCGATATTCAAAAGTTAGTTTTAATAGATTTGGTTTGTTTCAAGTTTGAGTAAGGATTGACGTCACTTAGAGAACCACTGAAAAGAAAACAAGAAGAACTGGGTAGCTGTTTATTGAATTTATTGAACTATGGGTACTGGGTTCGAGCCTCGGTGGGAACATCATCACTCACTGAGAAATGCAGGTACATCCAGCTGACGAGTCCCAAATAGGACGAAATGCGCTTTATCCTGGATTCCACTGCTAGCCACCATCCACCAATTGTATGGGTAGCTGTTTCTTCATAGTTTTGAACTCATTGGAAATAGTCCCTTATTTTAGTTTGAATGTACTAGATTACAAGGAAAACTAGTAGACAATTCAGTCAGTGAGAACCATTTCGATGATCTGGAAGTTTGCATTGTAACAGAAATGTCCTGCGTTCGAAACTCTGGAGATGCGTACTGCCAATGAGTCGCATACTGAGACTAAATATATGTCCAGTATTTATCTACGGGTTTTCAATGCTTCTCTGACTGATATCAATCCGTTGTTAAACTTCAGACAAATCAAATCTCTACAGACTTGTTTTTGGAAAAGTGTACTTAACCTTGGAAATAAATGGAAAGTATCCTGAAGAAAACAGCTACACTTTTTATACTTCTTGAAATATGAATATTCAAAACAAATTGTAAAGAAATACGTTCATCCTGGCAGTAGGAAGTCAAAGTACGTTTCTGTCGAAAAGAAACAGTCCTCTTCAAATTAGGATTAAAATGTGATCATATCACGAAATTCATTAAAATTATCAATAGAAAAAGTAGTTTAATTCTCCTCAAGTTTGCCTAAGCAATCAAAACTGAACTCTTGAAACCCAGTTTATGTGTTCACAAAGGTGTCCTTATTTTCTCTTTCATTTGATTACGTAATCTTCAGCTTTACCCGCTCCCCCGCCCCTATGGTATAGTGTAGCTTTGATTGTTTCTTGCTTCTCTGGTTTCAGTTGAATTCACTATACTGTTAATCAATTTTTTGAGTTACTCATCACCTTTTCAAGTATTGGTTTGTAGGGATTTGGTTACAATATTCCATCATGAGTTGACATTGGTAGGTTCCAGTGGGAAATCGTGACCAGTAGGGTGCAGCAGGTCGGGTGTGAGGACAAATACTCACCGAAGACATTGGATAGCGGTTGCGCTATATCGTGAATTGGCATAAGTTAGAATTCATGGGCCATTGGATCAGGTACCATAGGCTTAATGGTATACGAGCTTACCTTGTAACCGGAAGGTCCTGGGTTCGAATCTTAGCAGTGGATGCGTACTGCTGAAGAGTCCCAAACTAGGACGAATGAATGAGTTTTAATCAAAATAAACACATACAACTAAAGGAAAATATGGAATTATGCAAGAGCTCTAAATAAATAGAAGAGTCGTCGGGAGTTATAAATACAAGCAAACAAACTAAAATTAAGTCAGTAAAAATTCACTGATGCAAAAAAGACGATATCGTATTGCTTTTAGCAAGTTGTTTTTCACTTTGTAGACTACTTTGAAAGAGGTGTTTGTTGAGATGGAATGAGCAGTGTTGACAAGGTGTTTGATTACTTCACTTCTTATGGAGCCACTATAGTTCCGTATTTATGTATTTATTGGATGGCGTTTTGAGCGAAATTTATTGCTGATAATCACATGATGCCACTCATATAACTCTTCAACTTTGTTTAAATAATTCCATTATTTCAGGATTTTATCATAAAGTGACATCGGTTAGAGGACCATCGGATAACCTGCAAGGACTACTGGACAGCTGCTTCATTTTAGTTTGCTCAGTATCATGAACTAGCGGAAGTTGGAGCTCATAGGTCATTGAATCTGTTCCCAGTGACTTAACTGTCTACGAGTTGGCCTTGTAACCTAGAGGTTTTGGGTTCTACCCCTGGCGGTGGCTGAGTACTGCTGAAGAGCCCCGAACTAGGCTTTGAAATGGTCCTCTAAACGATGTCAGTTCATGATGAAATCCTGAAACCAATCAAATCCCTCCAAAATAACACTTGAATTCCATCGTCATTCCTGTAGCACTTGTCAGGCATAGATTCTATGAACAAAGATATAGTGATCAGTCTCTCCTTTCATCCACCTATATTACTTTTTAGAAATATAGTTTTGTTCTTCACTGCTGTGTAGTTGTGTGTATGCGTTAGTGCATACATTGCTGTTGATGAGGTTTTCTCTATACAATTTATCTTCTTGAGGTTTCAATAAATGGTGATTAGCAAATAACAACACGAAGCATCCATACAAGAAGCAGATATTTTAACAAATACTGAACATTTCGATGTTTGAAACAATAGTTGTTGGGTTTGAATTTCAATGGGAACTCAATCACTCACTATGGGGTGCAGATGTGTTCGGCTAATGAGTCCAAGTTAGGACGAAATTCGACTCTTTGATTCCATTACTAGTCATCACTTACTAAATAGATCACTATTACATTTGCATAACCAAATAAACCTAAGATTCTCTGCATTTTATATGTTCTTATTGCTCTTGTTGCCTTTCAGATACCTGATGCAAGTGAAAATTATACCTTGAGTCTAAAGATTACAGACGGTTATGATTATGCAACAAGTAATAGCAGTAAGCGTAACTCTATGTTCTTTTCTTTCTGTTGGTTTAATTTCTCTATTCTCTGCGTGTGTTGGTGTATGAAAGAAACCATCAGATTATGTAGACTCCTGCATCAACCTTAAAACCAGTTTGGAAATCTTCTTCACTCTGCCTCAGCATAAAAAAAAACAACGACTTTCGGATTCTGTTCAACACCAGTGTAAAGTCAATCAACCAGTTCTTCTGTACGGGTCATAAACTTGCACTGCGTGTCAAAAAAGATGGATTTCCAATAGTCAATTGGAGGCTTTGATCAACAGCTGCCCACTTCGTTGGCTGGTTCCACATACTGAAGGTCAAATGGCCGACTAGCCAGAAAGAATTAGCAACAAGAGAAACTCTGTCTGGCAACAAACCAACCATGAACCGATTGCTCAACAAATATGTAGAAACCAGAGATGGATCGGGTAATGTTGAGGAGGCCCTCGAATGACATTGCGCTAAATGAAGGTCATCGCCTGCGTGGATCGTCGGTGCGAGGGTGACATGCAGTAGGTCGTGTGTTTTGAGGGGGAGATGAGAGATTATGAGCAATCATAAAGCTAGCCAACTGATGAAGCGGGCAGGAGTAAATAGAAGAAAGTGGAAATGTGTTGCTGAATCTCTGTGTTCCACTCGGAGCCTAAGGGAATAACAATAGTATAATAATAATAATAATAATAATAATAAACGAAATATTCCCATATTGAGTCATAAGAGAAAGGCGCAAACAGCGAAGAAAATTTTATTCTCGACGACTCATTTTCTTGAGCTGTACAATCGCCGTTATATTAAACGAAGAAATCCTTAGACCACTCAGATACTGGCGAACTTTGTCCTTGAAAAGTTGAATTACATAATGTAAGGTGTAAGAAGGGATGACTAATTGGAAGTTAGAAAAGAGGCAAACGTTGGCATGACGTGATAAGTGCGAGATAATAATAATAATGAAGATTCCTAGCCAACATCAACAACACCAACAGACCACAATAAGCATAAATGGGAAGAACCTGAAAGAAACAACCTCCTTCACCTACCTGTGAAGCATCGTCTCAACTACAGGCGGAACTGACGAGGACATCAATGCCAGAATCGGAAAAGCAAGACAAGCTTTCATTACTCTCAAATCTGTGTGGAGGTCAACAGCAATCAGCATCAAAATAAGATCCGGATTTTCAACTCCAATGTGAAGTCAGTGCTACTATACGGATCAGAGACTTGGCGAGTCATAAAGAGCATCTCAAACAAACTTCAAACCTTCATTAACAACTGTCTCCGCTCAATACTCAAGATCAGATGGCCAGAAAAGATCAGCAACAGGGATCTCTGGGAGCGAACCAATCAGGAACCGATTGTGAAACAAATAGGCAGAAAGAAATGGAGATGGATTGGCCATACGCTGAGGAAACCATCAAGTGACATCACTAGACAAGCCCTCGAGTGGAACCCGAAAGGGAGGCGGCGAGTTGGTCGTCAGTGCAAGGGTGACTTGGAGGAGGTCATGCGAGGAGGAGATGAAAGCATGTGGACAGACCTGGAGCAGGGTGAAAAAGTTGTCAGAAAACCGAAGTCAATGGAGGTGCGCAGCTGAAGCCCTATGTTCCTCTAGGAACTAAAGGATTCAATAATAATAACTAGTCAGTAACCTCGTGTAGAATGAATAAGAACCAGTGGAACCAGGCGATAGCATGATTTTATATAAAATCTGTATTGATAAACAGTAATAGAATGGCAATAAATATGGATGATGGGAATAATATTGATAATGAAATAATAGTAGTAATAACAATAATAATAATAATAGTGAACTTACATAATAAAAAGAAAAAAGCAAAATTATAGTGAGAACTTTACTCTGGTCACGGTAGGGCAAGAAAATGTATGCATCGCATTTGAATGCAGAAGTCCGGTTTCAGATCTCGAATAGCTAATGCTTCAGCTATGTATCCGAAGTCCCTTTGTACGATTTTGAGGGACTCTGTGTAGCATTGTGAAGCATTCATGCAAGTGGTTGTGCTCAATGTCCGGAGAGGACAAGATTTTCGAGGATAGAGCTGCTGCTAATCTTCATCTCTCCACTGGTTGGCGAGCCAAGGTGGGCAGTGTTCCAGAATACGTTTCTGGACTTAACGTTGCGGACGGCCGATGTACTTTGCTCCAAGCAAGCAAATAAACTGATAAATACACATTTAAGTGACCAAAAGCGGATTAACGTTCTGATGGAGAATGTGATACGTAACACTTTTTGTCTTTTGAGAAACATGGACCAAGTAAAATCAACAAATATACCAGGCTGATGTGAGCTCATCGTTCTATTCTCTTGTGGATTCTTGCTTTCCACTAACTTCAACCTGAACAATACAAAAATATTAGATCCAAAAAGGGGTTTAAATATACTTTATTTGCTGTGATAAGGAGTAAATGTTAGGAAATATAGGTCACATGAATCCAGAATAATGCACGTTATCAGGCCATTAAAGGTTGAAATTATTATTATTATCATCATTATTGTCTTGGGTTCCGAGTGGTTGCATAGGACTTTAACAGAAAATATCCATTTTATCCTGTTCCCTTTCGTCTGCTTCAGCTGGCCAGCTGCACAACTCTCTGTAAACTTTCATCTACTTGTTGTCAAACGGTCTCCTATGTGTCACCCCTGGATATATGACTCACCGTTTCCCATTCAGGTTCCAATCACATGTGTGGCTGGAGCGTGATTTCGCCGGATGGCCTCCTTAATGGCTATCCGATTCACTATCTCCACTTTCTTTGGAATATTTGTTGAATAACAGGTTCTTGCATAATTCGTTGCAAGAGCTTCTTGTTACTAAATCTTTTTTCCAATTAAAAATTCCCTTTCAGTTATATAGAATAAAAGGTGTTCAGCGAAGAGTTGCTCCTCTTTTCGGTGATGTCACTCTCAAGCTGTACAGTCGCATATATATATATATATATATATATATATATATATATATTGAACTATCCTATCAACAAATGAATATTCCCGAGGATGTGTCATTAGAATTGTAAATTTTGGATAACAAATTTCATTAGTGGGTTAGAAACTAAAATAAGACTAAATAAGCAAGATGACTGACGTAATCTAATTGACAGGTTTGAGTGAAGCTCAGCTGAAGTTAAAACTGAACAGAAGTCAAGTTTTTAAATATTCCCATTTTAATTATTAGAACGATATATATATATATATGTATAAGCGAACAATATTGTTGTTTTCAATTAGATCTTCATCAGGCTTTGCTCTAATTTACATAGATTTATATATAAAAAATTTTAACCAGTGATGTTGATTTTGTGGATCAAATAATAATAATAATAATGTGGTAAGTGTTGTGAACGTCAGTAATAACGATGATTATAATAATAACAAAATATTGATAATAAGATTTATTCAGGTGGCGATAAGAATAACAAAAGTAGTAGTAATATGTGCATATGTAGACGATTCAATAAATAAACAAATTCGGACAAATCTTAAAAGTTACGTAATACTAAAGGTAGGTAAAGTGGACAGATAACTAGAGCTTAAATGAATATCATAAAAGTACAAAGGAGATGGAAAATAAGAAAGGGTGGGAGGGTTTTGAATAGAATTCATCTAGACGAAGTAAGCGAGAGACAAAGGTACAACAAACTTCTTTTGTTGTATGCAAAGACACTAGGATTGTTCTCTCGAATTAATTCCCATAGCTTCGGCTAAGTATAAAAGGCGGTTTCGAATTCCGTTCGGAAGGCTCAATGGAATGTGATAGATAACTTTGAAGGCACCATTTCCATCCACTTGATGACCGCTATCAATCAAATGAGTCAAAATAGAACTTGTCAGAGATTTTATTTCATCTTTTCCGAACCATGAAGGAAGATGCTCATTAATGCATTTGTTCAGCTGTCTAGTTGTTTGTCCTATGTAGCTCTCTTCACATGAGCAACTAAATTTGTGGACACACATAGAAGTGGCACAGCTAGATAGCTTGTCTTTCGTTTGAGCAGTCATAATTGGACGGCAGCTGGAAAATGACAAACAAAGGGTGGCGGCAGCATAAGTCCGTTTTATCGCTCTCAATAATCTCAGAATTAAGGCTTCGCTAGCCATATCCCCATTAAATTGCAATTTGATGAACAGTTGTTTCTCTTCAACTGTTGTTAGTTTCTCTTTATTGTACCTGGTGTTCATGTGTCTCCTTACAAACTTACTAGGATAACTCATTTGGACCAGTGTATTTGGGATGTATGCTAACTCATTTTCTAGGGAGTCATCTGTACAGATACGCCTTGCTCTATTTGTGAGGCATCTGACCAAATTGACTTTGTATAGGATTGGTAAAAAACTGAGGAAATGTGTATATTGTCCTACAGATGTAGGTTTTCTATAGACATCTCTCTTGTGCTCGATTGGACGTCCAGGAAATGTAGTCTACCATCATGTTCTTCTTCACAAGTGAAGATGAGCGATGGATGTGCATCATTCAATTTTATTAACATTTCATTCTTGTCAGCTTTCACATCAAGAATAATAAACTCATCATCAGCATAGCGAAAATAAGAATCGGTTTTTTCTATTACTTGTTTCAATGGATCATTTTCAAGCTTAGCAAGATAAAAATCTGCCGAAATTGGCGCCAATGGCGAACCCATTGCAATGCCGTGGATTTGCCTGTAGTAAAGGTTCTTGAATGTGAATTGTATATTCATAGTGCATCTTAAAAGCAACTCTTTCAGACTAATAACTGGAATTCCGATGTCGATCTATTTTTCCAGTATCTGTTGGCATATGAATTCCACAGTCTCCATAAGTGGTACATTGGTAAACATTGATGCTACATATAAGGATAGCATTAGCTTCCCATTTACACTGATATTGTCTACATTAGCAATGACTTCAAAAACTTCAAGTCAAGTTAACAACAGTGGTAATAGGGTGCGGGGGATGAGAAGATCACAAAATTAAGAAACAAACATGCAAAAAAAGACGAAACAAAAATTACGTTTTTGGTGTTAAGATAGGTCAGGTACACTGTAGATTTAATGACTGAAGGAATTTCCTTTTGTGGTTGCAGAGTTCAGGATTTAACGCGCGAATTGCTGTTGCTTCTGTAGCTTGAAGAAGTTTTATTCGTACTCTTTCAGCAAGATTTCCATGTATTCTGTAGACGACTTTGTGGGTTTGCTTGATGTTCAGATCCAATCAGGTGTTCCAGAACAGAGCTTCGGGGAGATCATTTTTTTCCTTGACAAAACCATGACTGTGGGTTATGCTTCCGATGATACGTTTGAGTAGCAAACGCTGGATACAGCAAACGCACCTAGATAGTTACACACAAGCATGTGAATTGGTAGATGCACATTTATGAGGCTGGCCAACAGTGGTAGCTTATCCTTCACATTCATGCGAACCAGTGGTTTCTTCTTCTTATTATTATTATTATTATTACTCCCTTGGGTTCCTAGTGGAACATAGGGGTTCAACTGCACGTCTCCACTTGCTTCTGCCTTCTGCTATACTTTTTGCCTGAATCCATGTTAGCCCATATTCTTTCAACTCCTTTTCACACGATCTCCTCCATGTCACCCTTGGACGTCCCACACGCCGCTTCCCTTTCGGGTTCCACTCGAGGGCTTGACGCGCGATGTCACCCAGCGGTCTCCTCAGTGAGTGTCCAATCCATCTCCACTTTCTCCTGCATATTTGTTGGTTGGCAATTGGTTCTTGCTTTGTTTGTTCCCATAATTCCTTGTTGGTGATTCTTTCCGGCCCGGCCATCTGATCTTCAGTATAGAGCGAAGACAGTTGTTAATAAAGGTCTGCAGCCTTTTGGAAATATTCTTTGTGACCCGCCAAGCGCCAAGTTTCTGATCCGTATAGAAGAACTGACCGACTTGAGATTTGTATTGAAAATCCGACTGGATTTTGTTGTTGATGGTGAGTGACGAAGATTTCCAGATTGATTTCAGGTTGATGAATGTGTTTCTCGCCTTCCCGATTCTCGCACGATTTGACATCCTCGTCCGTTCCGACTTCCTGTAGTTGAGACAATGCTCCCTAGATAAGTGAATGAAGTAACCTCTTTCAAATCCCTCCCGTTGATGGTGATTGACGTTGGATGCTGTTGCTGTTGTTGGTTGGTTATTTTCATAAACTCCGTCTTGTCTATGTTTACCTGGAGTCCTGTCTTCACCGGCTGCTTCTTCGACCAGTTTGTCGGTTTTCGCTTGTAAGTCTTCGATTGTGTGACATGACATCAAACATAAATCATCCACGCGCGAAATCCAGGTCTTCTAGGTTCTTCACGTCGGTCCAGGATATTCCTGTCTTCTCGTTTCCCACTCGCTGTCTGACGCATAATCCAGTCCACCACAATTAGGAATATCATTGGTGATAGTAAGCACCCTTGTCTGACTCCTGTGTTTACTCCAAACGCCTTGCTGAGTTTTCCGTTGTGGATCACTTGACATGTGCCGTTGTCGTACAGCTGTTGAATAAGGTTGATGAATATTTGGGGTACGCCGTAGTACTCGAGTAATTTCCAAATTACTTCACGATCAACGCTGTCGAAGGCCTTCTCAAAGTCTATAAAGTTGAGGTAGAGGTTTGATCGCCATTCCATGCTTTGTTCTGTGATGATGATGCGTAGAGTTGCAATTTGGTCAGTACATGATTTGCCTTTCCTGAATCCAGCTTGTTCTGGTCGGAGTTCTGTCTCCAGTGCGTCCTTTAATCTCTCCAGGATGATGCGACTCAGGATTTTACTTGGCGTCGACAGGAGCATGATTCCTCGCCAGTTCTTGCAGAGTGAGGCGTAAGTCTCCCTTCTTTGGTAGTTTCACGAGGTAACCTTTCCTCCAGTCAGTAGGCACCTTTCCCTCCTTCCAGACCTTTTGCAATAATGGAGTCAGCATGTCTGCTGTCGTCTCTGGGTCTGCTTTCAGTGCTTCAGGGGGTATTCCATCTGGTCCATCTGCTTTTCCAGCTTTCAGAAGCTTGATTGCATTCAAGACTTCAGCTTTCGTTGGAGGATTGGTGTCAACTTGCAGTTGTGTACGCGCTGTTGTTGGTATTTCTGGACGGGTTGCAGGTGGTGGTCGGTTCAAGAGTCCTTTGAAGTGATCCGCCCATTGTTTAATCTGTTTTTCTTCCTTGGTAATTGGGTTCCCTTGGCTGTCTTTTATAGGTTTCGCTTGTGTTGGTCTCTTCCCGGATAGAGATTTGGTTATCTGATATAGTGTCCTCAGGTCCCTTTTGCCTGCTGCCTTCTCAGCTTCAGTGGCCAGGTTGTCGTAGAATCGTCTTTTGTCCTTCCTAGCACTCTTCTTCACTTCTTTGTCCATGCTTTGTAAGTTGAGCTCAGCGTCTCCTTCTCCTGTCCGTCCTTGCATTGAATCATTTTCTCTTTCACCATTCTCCTCTCTTCTATTAATTTCCAAGTGTCCGTTGAGAGCCATTCCTTGTCTTGTCTCTTCTTTCTTCCTAGAACCGTTGAACACGTTTCGTTGAGAATCGCCTTCAGAGACTTCCAATGTTCTTCCACGCATGATTCTTCAGTGCTGTCGCGTAGTGTTTCCTGCTTTGCTCTGACAGTTGCAGTGAAAGTGTCCTTTGTGGTTGTGTCCTTCAGTTTATGAGTGTTGAACTTGCATTGTGGCCTATCCCCAGCTATCCTCGAGGCTTTTAGTTTCACCTTGAAAGTCCCTCGTGGTAGATAGTGGTCTGAACCCACATCTGCTCCTCTCCTCGACCTTGTGTCCAGTAGGCTCCGTCTCCACTTTCTTGAAATTGAGATGAAGTCTATTTGGTTCTTGGTGTTTCCATCTCCATCTGGTGAAATCCATGTCGTCTTGTGTATATCCTTGTGTTTGAACACACTGCCACCAATCACCAAATCATTGAAGGCGCAGAAGTCTGAGAAGAGTTCACCATTGTCGTTCATTTCGCGAGGGCCTCACGACCCATGGTGAGTTCTCTTCCTGTGTTGTCTCCTCCCAGCTTCGCATTCATGTCGCCCATCAGGATTTTGATATCGCCATTCGGGACGTTGTCCATTATTGCTTGTGGTTTCTTAGAGAAGGTTATTTGAAGTTCAACCACAAAGAAGGTTTTCTTCAGTGAGCAGGACAGGCAGTTTCTCAGTATTTTGCTGATGAGTCTCCTCTGATTTTTAGATTCAGGTCAGAAAGTTTTTTAGAAGTGGAATGTGTAGGCGGATTTTGGTGATTTAAGTTCCGTAGATTTTGTGATGAAACACTGTGATAAAACCCTAACCCTTCCAGTTACAAGGCACACTCATAGATCATCTAGCCACTGGGACCCGATTCAGTGGCCATTCCATGAATTCTAACTTTTATACATTTATCCCATCTGTCTTCTTCGGCAGTGAGTAACATTCTCATTGTCAAATTTTTGTAACTTGCATAGAAACAGTGAGACCATCATCACACTTAACAAAACTGGCTTTCTTAGGATGGGAAAATTCATAGAAGAAGGAAGAAAACAGAAAAGGAGAAAGAACAGAACTATGGGGAACACCAACTAGAGTAAATGAAACAGTGGAGGATTTCCTATTGTCAACAGAGGAATAGATCCCATCGGGAGAGCACGACTGCAATCACTCATTAATCCTGAATCCTGCTTGTCTATCAAAAGAGGCCTAGATACAGAGTGTGTGTGTAAAGGAAGGCACACAGAACATATTTGGTACCTCTATCTAAACTAAAGACCATATGATGATAATGATATAAGTCAACATTGGCATTTTCAGCGCACCTAAAACATTTATAAGCTTATTGTTTAGGGTTGTTGAAAGCCTTCAATAAAGGTCCAAGATCTGTTGAATGCAGTTTCTCCATTGTTTTTTAAAAACACTAAGGTAGTGAGTAATACAATAGGTCTAAGCTTAACACTTGATCTACTTGATGATTTAGTCATAGGAACAGTCTTAATGTCCTATCAAGTAACAGGCACATCGTTATTATGAAGCATATTTATGTGGAAACAGTTTAAGCAGTCTCTTCTTATAGTTAAATGCATTGCGGTACTCCCCTTTGCTTTTATGTTTTTTTGTTTTAATTCATAGGTGGATTGTATATAATCAAGACTTCTTATAGTCAAATTAGAATTCCTGAGAAAATGATCAAGTCGAAGACACTAGTAGAATTTATACCAAATCGAAGTATGTTCTTTGTTTGTTCATTGAAATCACCAAACTGTTCCGATTACTTTTTGCATACTTAAAATATTTAATTTATATGGTGAAAGCAAGAGTTTACAGTTCACAAACATTGGCCAGAGTGAAGACATATTTTCCGGCTTAGCATTATTATTATTATTATTATTATTGTTGTTCCCTAGGGTTCCGAGTGGAAAACAGGAATTCAACGGTACATCTGTACTTTTTCCAGTTCTCTGTAGTCCTCTTCAACCAGCTGGCTCCATGATTCTCCATAAGCCTTCACCTCTTCCATGTCACCCTCTTAAACACATCCACCTCGTTTCCTGTTCAGTTTCCACCCGAGAGCCTGGCATTCGGATTTGTTTTGTAGTCTCTCCAGTGTTTATCCGATTCATCTGCATTTTCTCCGTCATATTTCTTGAGCAAAAGGTTCTTGATCGCTTCCTCCCTCTATACAGTATCTTGTTACTAATCTTTCCCGGCCGGCCATCTGATTTTTAGTGTGGTAGCTGTTTGATGAAAGTCTGCAACCTGTTGGATACACGCACGCCAAGGTTATGACTCATATAGAAAAATGTTTAACTTTAAATTTTTCTTCTTTAAGTCAAATACAGAAGATTTACAAAGTTGATTCAGAGTGATGAAGTTTTGCCTTACCCTTTTGATTCTAGCTTTGACATATTCATCCGTTACACCCATAGTTGAAACGATGCTTCTTAGATAAGTGAAGTAAATAATGTCTTTCATATTTCTTCAGTTGACAGTGATTAGTATTAGTTGTTGTTTTAGTTGTTTGTCTTTTCCACTTCCAACTTCTGTATGTTCACCTGAATTTTTGTCTTTGTTGCCTGTCTTTTCCGCCAACTTGTTGCTTTTCTTCTGTATGTGTGTGATATCGGACATAAATCGTCAACGAACTGCAAGTCTTCTAGTGTTACCTTGTCGGTCCAGCGTATTCCAGTCTTCTCACTCTTCACAGAGTGGTGCATAATTCAGTCAGCCACAATTAAGAATATTATCGGTGATAACTGGCATCCTTGTCTTGATCCTTTTCTCGACTTCGAACACCTCGCTGAGTTTTCCGTTTTGGATCACCTGACATGTGGTATTGTCACATAGCCAGCAAAGATTTGGGCACTGCACGCCGTAGCGTTGAAGCAGTTTCTAAATTATTTTATGGTCAAAGCCGTCAAATGCCTTTCGGAAGTCGATAAAGTTGAGATAGAGGTTTGACTGCCATTCTATGCTCTGTTCGATGACTATATAAAGAGTTGCAGTTTGATTAGTAAATGACTTGCTTTTCCTGAATGCAACTTGTTCCGGCGAAGCTACCGGAGTTCTGTGTTTAGTGCATCCTTTATTCTCTCCAGGATAATGTGACTTAGTGTTTTACTTGACGTGGGCGTGAGCATTATTTTATGCTGGTTCTTGTAGAGTGAAGCATATGTCTCCCTTTTTTGATGGCTCGGCAAGTTAGACAGCCTTTCTTCCAATCGGTAGGAACCTTTCCTTCCCTCCTAACCTTTTTCAATAATGTCATCAGCATATCCACTGTGGTCTCTGAGTCTGTTTTCAGTGCTTCAGATGGAATTCCGTCTTGTCCTGCCGCCTACCCAGATTTTAGTAGTTCGGTCACATTCGAGATCGCTGCTTTCGTTGGAGGATTGTTTTTCACTGGCGGGCAGTTCTGTGCGTGCTATCGGTGTTTTTTCTCAGCAAGTTGCAGGTGGTGATCGACTCATAAGTCCCTTTAAATGATCAGCTCATTGTTTTATTTGTTTCTCCTTCTTATAAATTAGGTTCCCTTGACCCTCCTTTTTAGTTTCGCCTATGTCGATCCCTTCCCAGATATCAGTCAGCTTATCTAGCACAGTGATCTGAGGTCCATTTTATCTATGGTTTGTTCTGACTCATTTGCCAACCTGTGGCAGGATTGTCTTTTGTCCTTCCTAGCACTCTTCTTCATTTTTTATTCAGTGCGATGTACACCGAACCCAGCTTCTCCTTTTGTTGTGAATCTTTGGATTGAGTCGCCTCTTTTACCATCCTGCTCTATTCCTTTAACTTCTGGGTATCAGCTGAGAGCCATTCCTTGTTTTGCCTTTTCTTTCTTCTAAAAACGGTGGTACTTGTTTCTTTGAGTATCACTTTCACAGAGTGTTGAATAATTCAGAAATATCACAGATGATAGTAAGCTGTCTTACATTACTCCTGCATTTACTTCAAACACCTTGTTGAGTTTTTCAGTGTGAACCACTTCACACGTGACATTTTCATATAGCCAGCTGTTGAATGAGGTTGATGAAGATCTGAGGCAGTCCATAATGTTGAAGCTGTTTTTTAATTACTTTACTGTCGGCGCATTGAGGACTTTTTTAAAGCTGATAAATTTCTGAAAGGTGATTTCATTTTCGAGAAATAAAAACTACTCAGTAGGCAACATACACACCAGATAGTGAGAATAAAGATAAAACATAGATTAGATAATTTAAAATTAGATAATGAAGAAAAATTGGTTAGTTTCGACATTGTCAGTTTATATACACGTGTACCAATAAATATGGCTATAGAGGCAGTCGCAAACGAACTAATTTCTGACCAAGAACTCGAACTTAGGAAGAAAGTGCCACTACTTAGAGGATATAATGCTGGGAGTCCAGTTATGCCTGACTTCCACAGTATTTAAATTCCAAAGGGAAAATATGCAAACAAACAGAAGGAGTTGCAATGGGATCACCAATATCCCCAGTTGTAGCAGATATATTCATGGATAGGTGGGAAAACATAGCAATTGAAACGTTCACCCCCACCCCAAAAGTATGGAGGAGGTATGTAGATGACACACTGACTGTACTTAGAACACAGCATGTAGATAATTTTTCGAACACATTAACTCAAATGTGGAGGCAATTCAATTCACTTATGAATTGAGAATTCAGGAAGGGGAGCTTCCAATGTTAGATTGCAACGTAAAAAGGAAAGAAGATGGGAAGTTAAACATACGCGTGTGTTAACAGGAAACCCACACATTCAAACAGATATCTGGATTTCCGATCATCCCACCCTATGTCATTTAGAATAGGATTGGTGAAATGTTTAAGTGACAGAGCACAAAAACTAAGTAGTACCAAGGAAAGTCTAAGACAGGAAGTGATACACATAAAAGAGAAGCCTTGAAACTTAATTATTACTCTGATAAATTAGTCATAAAGTATGCAAGGAAATGTAAAAATAAAATAAATAATGATAGCAGTGATAGTGATAGTTACAATAATAATGATAACACTAATAATGATATTAATAATAGTGATAATTAATAATATTAATGACGACACCAACAATAAAGAATCTAAATCATCAGTAGTAATTCCTTACAAGGAAAAAACCTAGGAAACCTTAACTAGAATTCCTAACAAGGCAGCAATGAAAGTGGTTGGCATTCAAACCATCCACAAACTCAATTAGAAACGAGCTTTGTCTGTTAAAGGTTCCGATGGAGCCTATGAAATAAAACAATTTAGTTTATCGAATACCCTATCTGCAATGATTGCCAGGTCAAATAAATAGGTCGAAGTAGTAGAACAGGGGCAGCCAGACTAGCCGAGCATAAAAACCTAGGAAAATCTATATTAGTTGACCCGAATAAAATAAGAAATCTAGAGAATAGTTCAGGCATACCACCCACTACATGCAATTACATACAACCATACAATAGGATAGGATGCGATAAGATGTCATTTTTAAAACCTAGCATAACAGAGCGGAGGGAGATATTGATAACAGAATCTTTATTTATCGAATCAACTGGAGAGAACACAAGTAATAGGAGTGATTCAACAGCTATCCCAGATATTTGGAAAATTCTACTGCAACTATGACAAATAGGAGAGGACAAAGAAAAGTATAAAACTAAAGTTTCGAAGTAGTGTGATTATAATTGGTATGATTATGAACAGTAAGTTGTGTTCGAAACGTCATCCAGTAAATAATACTGTTACATTGTGTGATACATCTAATAATAAACTAAGGTGAAATTAGTTAATAACAAAGTGCCCAAGTTTTACACATATATTAAAGATAATTAACATAATTTTTTAAGAGGTCAGAGTTGAACTGGATGAATTATAAGATTTTTAAAAAAAAGATTATTGAATGATTGAATTACTCTATGCTTTCCAATATCAAAAAAGATTTAATCTCTTTATTTCACTGCTTGAATGCTTTGGTAGACAGAAGAGCGAACTGTGTACTTCTAATAGTCAATCTGTCAAACAAACGTTTAAGCTAACTTCAATCGTTGGCTATCACTAGGAAGAATGAGAAATCTTAACGATTATCTACATTCTACGATGACGAAAATTTCCTCTAAAGGCAAAGATATGTTAAACCTTCGTGCAGCAGTCTTAAATAATGACTATTCTAGGGGGTCTACTGAGAGAAATGTGTGTAGAAATCACTCCAAGTCTAATCATAGTACCTAGGTTGGAACATCATCACTCACTGGGGAATGCAGCCACATACAGCTGACGAGTTCCAAATAGGACGTAATGTGCATCCTGGATTCCCCTGCCAGTCACCATCCACCAATTAAATTCTAATTGCATGCCCAGACATCATCAAAGCAACTGCACAAGAAGCTGACATGTCAACCTGAGACTGAGCACTTCGGTCCAATCAATCAACGGGAAAATCTAAAAATTCAATTAAATTAATATGACCCGTTGCACAAGAGGTGGCTCTCCAAGGCCCAAGTGGTCTAACGGATAACGCTTTGGCGTTTGAAACCATGGGTACTGGGTTCGATCCTCTGTGGGAACACCATCACTCACTGCGAAATACAGGCACATCCAGATAATAATATTTTTTAATAATTTTTCCTTCACGTTCTCCAGTGGAACATAGGGCTTCAAGTTGGTGGCTTGAAGTTTCTGTAGCAGTTTTTATTTTTTTACAGGATGGGGTTGCTGGCCTGATGTCCAGCCTTTCCTCTCTACCAGGATTATTTCTGGCTTAGCGAGGTAAAGGAGTGCGTCTGTGACCGGGGATCGAGCCCGGGACCATGTGCATGGTCGGCGAGCGTCCTAACCGCTGTGCCACCGACGCACATCCAGATGATGAGCCCCAAATAGCACGAAATGCGCATCCTGCATTCCACTGCTAGTTACCATCCACCAATTAAAAGATAATGCTGTTTTTAATTTTGACAATCAAAGGTAACACTGTTCTTAAAGTAACTTGAAATTTGTCTATCCAGATGTATTAAACGTTCTTTTTTCACACCATTGGCTTCCACCTGGTAATCTTTTTATTTATTTTATTTTTATTTCAGCTTGATTCCACATAGTACGTTTTTGTAGAAGTATGGAATTTTCAGCATGTGATATCGGTAGCCCGAATTTCGCAGGCCGATCATTGATATCAGGTGTGCATCGGCAGGGGATCAAACCCCGGACCATCTGTATGGTCGGCAAGAGTCCTAACCACTATGCCACCGACGCACAGCCGAAGTATGAATCAACAATGCATGGAGGATAAATTACCACTCATTATCCATCTCTGTGCCCATCTACTCCTTCGTAGGGCTCCTTTTTAGCCGATTACATTGGACCTTTTAAGCGTGTTCTCCGGCAACATGTGACTAAACACTACTCCGTTTAGTTAATGAAAAGCGAATATAGGAAAAAGAAGTTTTCCATCTGTGAACACCCTTTTGAGTCAGATCACTCAACTGTATATTATTCACATGCATGGCTAAATTCAAACGACGTTAAAGTTTACGTTTTTTCCAAGTTTCTGTGTCCTGAGCCTTAGCTGTACATGAACAAAATCCTAAACTCTGTATTCAAACACGTTTTGTTGAACCTCTTTACCTTGGTCACAGTGAAGTCTGGTGTTAGAAAATTATGATTTCAGGGACAACAAATACAGGAGAGTTCATTTAATAACGTATACTCAACATTTTTCTCTAGTCGTATGTGACATATTGAATTGGGTTATCATTAAGAGCAGCCAGAGAAGGCTTCAGCCAAAATATTTACACCATCCTAGCTCTGTATAGAGATCCCAAACAATTCAACACGCATTCTTCCCATTTTAGACAATGGCTGAATTTCCTTTTGATAAAGTCTCGAAGTATAATACAGTAAAATGTATTGGTGAAGTTTTGAGCACAATGTATTGCTCATAGCCATATGAAGTTTATAAATAGCCGCAACATTTCAATCGATATTTAGACTTTAATTCGTCCCATCCGTTGGTTAGCTTCTTGAAGTGTCTAACATACCGAGCAATAGCATTAAGTAGTACAACAAAAGACCTAAATGATGAAATGAAGTAGATAGAAGAAGAAACGTTGGTTTTAAGTAAACAAATATCCTATGAAATTCATTAGGAATATCAAAAAAGGTCAGAAACAAAATATAAATAATCGTGAAACTAGTAATGACAACATAATTAAGAAAGGATATAGGGAACCTACAGTTATGCCATATAAGGGGGGGACATCTGAGACCCTACATGGTAGGATTTTTAATAAAGCAGGAATTAGGTCGTGGCATTCAAATACACGAACTCACTCAGGTAGGACAAACTCTGTAGGTTAAAGGACCTAATTAGACAAAATAATATAATTTACAAAATACCTTGCAATGACTGGGAATGAGTTCAGTTACGTGGGTCAAACTAGTAGATCAGGGGTATTCAAATTGTCGGAACACAAGAATTTAGGGAAGGTTAGAATGATTGCTCCGACGAAGATAGCTAATTTACAAATAAGCTCAGAAATTGCACTGACTTCAAAATAGAATAAAGATTACTTTAACAATCATAAAATATGAACATAGCAAGAACAACAATTGTACCAAGATAATATGAGCTTATCTTTTATTATTTCGAGGATTCTTCTCAACTGGTTACAACCTGAACGATAAAAATATTAATTACATTAAAGATTTGAACATACTTTTCCACGATCACAAGGAGTAATTGGTAGGAATTAAAAGTAACATTAGTCCGGAATGATTTAACTGATTAGGAGATACAAACACTGACTATTTATAGAATAATTAGAAAATTAGGCTTGGAAACAAAAAACAGGGTTGTTTATTGATGTGTGTGTATAGAAACAAGGTTTAGCTAGAAAGAGCATAACAAAAAAGTAGATTAGGTAACTAAAGAGAACGTCTTATCTAATAGCTAATAGAAAAAAGGAGAGAAAAGAAACAAGGTAGGGCGAGTCATGTTTAGATGAGAGAGTAGAGTTTTCTAAACATGAAAAAGAGTGACTCATAAAAGTTGTATATTTTTTGTTATCACCAGGACAGTGCAAGATTCACCACTGTCTTTCTGCGTACATAGATCTGGTTTAAGTCGTTTGATAGCAATTGTAAAGCGTAGCAAGCTAGGTTTCTTTTGCTTGTTGATTATTTTGAATGACTTCAGGTTGTCTACAATATGACCAGTGTCCAATAGATGACGAGCAATCGCACCGTTCAATGCTTGCAGACTTTTCAGTCTCAGGTCTTGGTATGTGTTCATAAATGCGGACAATAACCCTTCTCTCTGTTCTTCCGATGTATGTGCTTTGGTACGTACACGAAAATTGGTAGACACAGTTGGAGGTAACATGAGGTGGGTATTTGTCCACTTTTGATTGTCTCAAACAACCAGTTGTTTGATAAACACATACTAGCTTGGCGGCTGGATATGTTCTTTTCATGGCAGCGTTCATTCTTCATCTTATTCCACTAGCAGAATCAACACCTTTGAATGCAAGCTGCTCAAAGATAGGCTTTTTATCTACTGTGCTGCTTTTCACTTTTTCAACATGACGTCTCCCATACTTGTTGATGAACTTTTGTGGGTAACCGTTCTCGCTTAGGCATTTCCCCACAATGGATAGCTCTTTGTCAATCTTTTCTTCTGAACACAATTTCCTCACACGATCAAATAATGTTCTCACCAATCCGTTTTTGTTACTTATAGGGCAGAAGCTTTTGAAGTTAAAATAAACTGACCTCCACGTCTCTTTTCTGTGTATATATCTTATGATTTTGCTGTCTTTATCTCGTTGGATACCCAAGTCCAGGAAATGAAACTTCTCTTCTTTTTCATACTCCATTGTAAACTTAATATTAGGGTGAGGGCTGTTCAAGACTTCTAATACTTGAGATGCATCATTGAAAGAATTACAAATAACGAAAGTGTCATCAACATACCTGGTATAGACGTTTGTCTGATTGATTGCGGATTTTAACCTTGTTTGTTCTAGATTACCCATAAAAACATCTGCCAGAATCGGACCCAGGGGGCTTCCCATAGCTACTCTGTCAATTTGGCGGTATAGACTGTTGTTGAACTGGAACTGTACGTTTTTGGTGCACATAAGTAAAAGTTTTTTGAGTTCGTTCTTGGGCAGAGCAAGAAGTTCGGCATGTTGACATATAATCTGTATTGTTTCTTAAATAAATTTTAAATCGTAAAATAACTGGAATAATAGTATTCATTGAAGTACTGCAAAGATCATACAAAACTGGTTCAAGAATTTGCTACATCAAATCTCACCTAGAGAATAAAGTAGTTTTATGAGGTTGCTCTTCTCTTATAATTGTTACATATGCCCAATCGCCTTTTTGTCTATTTATTTATTTCTATTTTTTACTGAAGTTTGCTCACAACAAGTGTCTTGTAAAAACTGTGCTTCTGCTTCAACAGAGTATGCAACATGCTACTGGTGTCCAAAAATCAATATATGCAGTCATGGTTTTGATATTCATAGACCATCTTGGATAAAAAATATGTGTCATATTGAAGTAAGTATTTTGTGTGTTTGATTACAAAGTGTAGAATAAGCTAAGTCAAAGTATGGAGGTCAGGGAGTGGAAACACATGGCCCTGAAGGTATAATCAAAACCTACCACTATTACAACGTTAATGTGAACATTGTTCATGAAGTGAGGTACAAATTTCATCCTGACCTCGTTTTTAAGTACTGTCTGAACAATACCGTTATAGGTCGTTAAGGTTAGGGTTACGATTAGGGTCAGGGTTAGTGTTCGGATTGGGATTAGGGCATTTTACTTTTATTATACACATTTTTCCAGTAAAAGATTTGTTATCTATCTCAGTGGAACCCATACTATTTCAATCAGGGGTTGTAGCAGAAGACTGAAAAGCAGGATAAGGGCAATAAATGAGTTATAAAAGGAACTAGTCTTCAATCACTTCGATGAACGCAATAGAGAAGCTGATCTAATTTAAAAAATTGGTACTCTTCATTATATTTGGGAGATATCTTTTTAAGTTATGTTAAGAAAAAACATCCCATTTAGTGTGTTTACGATTATTCTCTGTATATTTTTTGTAAATAAACATCATCTTTCTGTACTCTTTATAAGAAACACTGGTTTTTGTTGATTGCTCGCCTTAAAGTCATGTTGCATTCGCATTTCATGGATCAGTGCAGTTTAACTTTACCGTGTAACGTTAACTAACTAACTAACTAACTAACTACCTGCGCAACTAACCAACTAACTAACTAACTAACTGACTAACTGACTGACTAACTAACTGACTAACTAACTAACTAACTGACTGACTAACTAACTAACTACCTGCGCAACTAACCAACTAACTAACTGACTAACTGACTGACTAACTAACTGACTAACTAACTAACTAACTAACTAACTGACTGACTAACTAACTAACTATCTGCGCAACTAACCAACTAACTAACTGACTAACTGACTGACTAACTAACTGACTAACTAACTAACTAACTAACTAACTAACTGACTGACTAACTAACTGACTAACTAACTAACTAACTGACTAACTAACAGACTAACACGAACACAAGTTTATTGCATTAAAGTTCCTTGATTTATTACTTCATAAGAATGCACATTAGACTGGTCTTGTGGTGAGAGCTGTCTGCTAGGCGAAATTGTACATAACAGTTTACATCAATATTCACTTCCTGAATCAGGGTCATAAGAAAAACAATAACAAATCTTAACCTAGAGAAAATCACCAGCCAACCACAGTGCAGTTAAACTGTGGAAATGCGAATCGTAGGTAATTGGCTTAACTTTCTGAGGAACGGCCACAAAAGGATAACAGAATAACCTTCAGCAAGAAAACAGTTAATCAGAAGAGGTTGCTTCTCCGGCAGCAATAACGCTAATAATAATACACATAAAAATCTATGAATACCTCTTGCTTTCCACAATAAACTATCTGTTGGCTGACCTTTGTATTCTGTCGTTACAGTTTAACCAGAGTTGCACATAAATATTGACTATCTGTCACCAATCCCTATGCTATTCCTAGTTGTACATAGCACTAACCAATCAGCGATGAGACCGAATAGTGGCCTTAGTAGTGACATCTCTGAGGTGGGTTTTTAAATATCCAGTGGAACACCCGTTCCCTCAGGACTATAGATACGCCTTGCTGACTGGAGAGTGTCATCAAGGAAAAAACTTAAGTCCAATATTTTCTGTTGATTGTATTCAACCAACTAACACCAATTCAGAATGCACCGTGGTGACCAATCCAAATTCAACTGAGAGAATTTAAGTTTGACCACAGATTGACATCATTTAGAGAGTCAAAGGAACATCAGGGAGTACTGGACGGCTGTTTTTCCATAGTTCAGGATTCAAGAGAAGTACGCACCCACTGAAGTCCGAACCCAGGAGCTTCCAGTTACAAATGAGGCCCGTAGATGGTTCAACCACTGGGAATTGACTCATTAGCTCATGACCTTCTGATATCAGGTCGACCACCAACTACTGTCTTCTCTGAATATTTGTCCTGATGAAAATTAATCTGATACTGGCTGGTGATTAGCTACAAGATAAAGTTCTTTGGAGTTCTGGTCAGAAGTTTTGACCAGTGGGGTCAACCGCCAGGCTGGGATTGAGGAATGATACTCGCCGATCACACTGTCTGAGGCCAGCCACGTTAATTTTACGAAGTAGTACAATCTGGAATCTGTGGGCAATCGGATCAGATTACAGTGAATGAATAGTGCATGGGCTTTTCTTGTAACCGGAAGCCTTGGGTCGGTGGGTGATTACTTCTGGAAAGTCTCAAAGTAGGATGGAACAGTTGTTCTGCACTCTCCATTGGTTCTCAGTGGCCCTTTAACCGATACAAATCCTCGGTCAAACATGAAACAAATCGAATCCCTACAAATCAACTCATGAGAGAATTTAGTTTGCACTAAACTACCAACTGAAGACATGATATTATAAGTTATCACGCTTGACCCAAAAATTTTCAAATCATTCAGTTTTTTGTTGGCAAATCAGCCTCTAACACTGTGGATGCTTCAACAATGTCTTCAGATTAAGATGGCGACATTTGGTAGATTGTTAATTTCAGTGTGAAGACATCATCCACCGACTGAAGATGCAGATGACGAGTGCGAAATAGGACTGTGTGCACCTGTTGGATTATAGCGCTTTTGATCATCCACCGAATTTATCATTCCGAATTTCCATTTAATGGCAAAGTTGAAGAAAAGCATCCTAAGGGATGTGAGCACACGAGTAACCTTCAGCCGACCAATCATAAAAATGCATGAAAACACATTAAACGGAGTATCTTTCTCTGACATGACATAAAAATACATCCCGATTATAGTGAGGAGTATTGTGAAAACAGAAGACAAGAGCCGGCAACAGATCGTTTTATTACGGAAATCAGCACGTATTTATATATATTTCATGCACATTATTATAGCTTATTCAAGCAGACAAACACAGTCTTCTGATTGGTTGTTTCTGGTTTCTCGGAAAGTTAAGCCATATATCTGCGAATCTTATTTGCCCACGTTAAGTCTGCTGTGATTGGTTGTTGAATCAGTCTTGTTCATATTTTCTCACGGCCGATATTAGTGACCTAGACATTGATGTAAATTAATGTCTACCATTTGGCTAGCAGCCTGCTCTCACCACAGTATCAGTTACTAAGTTAGACTAGCTACTGTACGTGCATTCACCGAGGTGACTCACGATGAGCTGTTTTTGGGAATGGTTTATCTGTCTTATCCAGTTGAGCAGTCTTCCCCAAAAGCGGTTTTTTGAATTACTATGGTTCCCAGCAAAAGGATGGATGGCTACTTACCAAGAAAATTTTGATAATAAGGCAAACTAAAATAAATGACAACTCTTAATTTATTATATATCGTAACCCTAACCTTAATAATGAACCTAACTCTAGGCTTAACATTAACTCTAATTACAACGCTTATTTTGACCGTAAACCTAACCCTAATCCTAATTATGACCCTGATCTTAACTGTAACGCCAATACCCTTTTTTTATTCCCGTACATTCCAGAGGAACATAGACCTTCAAGCTAGAGGCTCGAAGTTTCTGTAGCAGTGGTGATTATTTTTATAGGATGTGATTGCCAGCCTCATGCCTAACCTTCCCTCTTTACCACTCTTACTACTGGCTTAGCGAGGTAATGGATTGCGTTGGCCGGCGACTGAACCCCGAACCACCTAAGGGGTCGGCCATCACTATACCGCTGCGCCACCGACGCACACAAGCTCAATACTTACCTTAACCCTAACGAGCTATTAACACATTGTCCAAACAGTACTTAAAAACGTGATCTGCATGAAATTTTCTCCTTATTTGGTGAATGGTGTTGATATTTCAGCTGTGATAATGATAGGTGCCATTAGTCAACGACTAGCATGTGTTCAAGGTCATTAGAGAGTTTACACTACTCGGACGCTATTGCTGAACTTCTCCCATTTAATATCACTCCCTACAAGCGATCGAATGTTACGAGATATGCAAGGGAAGTGGATGGATCACAATGTGGATCCAACAGTACTGAATGCCGAATTTCATATATATATATATATATATATATATAATGCCAGCACGTGCTTTTGGTGAGTATTGATCCTCACACTCAGCTTGGTGACCCTTCTCCCCCTCGCCCGGTCATATATCGCGAACCAGCAACAGTTAGAAGTGATTGCCACTGGATTCCGTTGCAATGACTTAACACCCTACGAACTCGCCTTGTAACCTAAAGATTCCCAGTTTTAATCCCTGGTAGAGTCATAAACGTAATGATGAAGGGCCCCTGAAAAGGATGAAACAGCTGTCCAACACTCCCTGGTTTTTTATGGTTGCCAAACGTAAGTCAGAATCCCTGCATAGCTAAAATTGAGAATAAAATCTAAATTTAAACTACATAGTCACTAACCTTCTGTATTGTAAATGGGTTTATAATACTTATTCAAACTGTTAAACAGCTTCTTAACGACAATAACTAAAATTTTGATCCTAACTTTTATCTTATCATCATTCAGAATACGACAAACTGTCAAGATCTAACAGCTTTAAACTCTGATCATGATCTTCAGAAATTAACTTCTCCTCCAAATGAATTGAATGAGGCATCCATTCTACCCAAAAACAATGTTACGGAAAGCGTAACTGAAATGCGAGAAACAACTGCAACAACTCCACTTACCCATCAAACTACAGAACTTACATCCCAAACTTACTACACTGTTACAGAGAGTATGCCAGAAACACCAGAAATCACAACAACAACAACAACAAGAACGACACCTTCATCTAGCTTCAGTACTTCAGAGCATACAACTCGAGCTAGTCAGCCTCATTCGGTGAAGTCAACTGTTGTGGATGAAGTATCTGGAAATGCCAATCATTCTTCGTCATTGCTGTTTATCATTATACCAGCCATCATAATAGCACTTCTTATCGCGATCTTATGTATTATTTGGTCATGTGTAGTATACGGAAGGAAGTCAAAAGTAAGTTCCAAGATGACATAAGTACTTCTGCTTCTTACAAAAGATTATTTAAAACAATTAGTCCCTTTGATTAATTTGAATAAGGCATTTAGAAGATAAATTTCTCGAGATGATGGCATCGTTCCGTTGTTTCTCCACAATCGCTTTACACTTAACATGCTTCACAATAATAATAATAAAATAAATTTCATGACAATTACTCAGTTATATACACCGCATCTCTTTCCCTCACATCCCGAACATTTTCGACCTCTATACATACGATTAAAGGACAGAGTTCTATGAACTCTAATTCAAACTGTATCTACAAGTTCACCTGCAGTTGTGGTGACGCACACTTAATAGGTAGAACCAAGAGAATGCTCCAATGTCGTCGAAAAGAACACGTTCCAAAATGGTTATTAAAACATATAGAAAATCCCAATACAATTAATCTGAATAAAAATCCATCACCATCACTCATTGCAAAGCACTTATTCACGTCAGGTCACAAAATCAATATTTATGACTGCTTCACAATTATTTCATCACATAACTCTAATTCACGGTTGGTTATTCAAGGTGATGAAAGCACTTTGTATTAATCACATACATCCTAAACTATGTGTACAAAAATTTCATGTTAGTTTGTTTATTGATCACAGGTCGATATCAATAAGACAACCGATAAAAGCCACCAAGGAGTCTTGGACAGTTGTTTCCTCCTAGACTCTTGCCATTCACCAACAGTACACATCCACAACAGGGGTTCGAACCATGACCCTCTTGGTTTAAAGGAAAGCTAATAGAACATTTAGCCACTGGAACCCAACTCATTGGCCAGCTCATGAGTTCTAACTTCTAAGAATTCGTGGTTGTATGGCGACTGACACCAGTCAATATTATTGGCGATTGTGTGTACCCCACTGCTCAAGAAGTCTCACTATAACTTGAGGCAACATCATTGTGAAGCCAGTCGCTAGCGACTATTTTGTGTACAGTTTAGAAAGGCTTTTACATCAGTAGTCATGACATTATTCAGACGAATTTTATTTCGAATACTTAAACACTGGATACATTCAAATGTTTTTCATTCAGAACAACTGAGTAAGCACTCCTACTGTGAAATACTACTGATAGACTGAGATGAGTAGTTGCATACTACTTATATCAACCAGTGCTGCTTGCAAGCCATATCCACCGGATAGCCATTTAACTCATTTCGGGCCGACCACAGCAGCGGTGTAGCCAGTTTGACTAGAGTCAGAGAGCCAAATCAGTTAACAGCAACCAATTTGTGGCTAGCCACTTGGGTCAACTGCTATTACCTTAGACGAAACTGGCTATTTGGAGATGAATTAATTAGCAGTTTGCAATCTACAACACACTTCAAGCAAGTGAAAATTCGCTACATTTTTCATTGGAAACCTAAGTCATTCAAAACAACATAACATGTAATCTACCTATGACTAGTTATTCAACTAACGTATAGGTTAGGTACAGACTAATTTTATCCAAAAAAGCAGTTAAATGCGAAAAATCACTGAACAGGTTTGTAATCACACTCCAAAACCTGCATCTGAAACCAAAGAACTAAGGTAATGAAAGCAGTATTGTAACGATAGAAGACAAGGGCCAGGCAACATATCGTTTATTAAGGAAGTCAACACATATTTACAGATTTTCATGTACAGTCTTCTGATTGGTTTTTTCTCAATGAAAGTTAATCTTTCATCTCTTTTTGTAGCTGTTTCGTGAACGTCAGATCATCTATCTGCTAACTGTATTCGCCTACGCAAAGTGTGCTGTGATTCATTGTTCAGTCAGTCTTTGTTCTTGTTTTCACATGACCGATTTTGGGACAGATTTTGAAAGTCACTCAACTGCGCAGAAGCCTCGAAGTGCTGCCCGAAGATCCATATGTCTCCATCAAAACCTGCAGGGCATAGGCTTTCCATTTGTTGGTAGGTAGTGACACCAAATGTAACGACAGATGACAAAGGCCAGGCAACAGATAGTTCATTAAGAAAATCAACACACATTTATAGATTTTCATGTACATATTATAGATTACTGTTAGTAGAAAAACACAGTCTTCTGACTGGTGATTTCTCGCTGAACTTTAATCTTTCGTCTGTTTGTGGCGATTTCTCGAAGTCCAAATTATCTATTTGCAAATCGTATCCGTCTACTAATATATGTGTAAAACTTGGCCTTGTGGTAGTAAGTAAACAGACTAATATGTATCCGCCTACGCAAAGTTTGCTGTGATTGGTTGTTGAGTTGGTCTTTATTCTTATTTTTCTCATGACCAATACTGGGGACGTAAATATTGACGTAAATTACTGTCTATAAATTTGGCTATCAACCAGCTCTCACCGCAGTATGAGTCAAAAATTCATCATCTATTAAACTTAAAATTTGAATACCAATCAACTATTGACTGTAGGTTAGTTTCAAGATGAATGTTTTGAAGTTCTTTAAAAAAATCATATGATTCGTGGAGTTCATGGATTCGGCAAGATAGTAACAGACTCATTGTTAACAGTTGGATCAAATTGACAGTATATGATAAATCGGTAGGATCTGAGAATATTTGTCTTAATGAACTTCAACGTATTAGTTTCAAGTTAGATCCTAGAATGATAATAGTTCGAGTACTATTCAAATCTCTGGATCACTAAACAGCTACTTTGTCCCCAAACATTGGGACTCTTCAGCAGTACGCTCCCACTAACACATCGAGGACTGATCTCAGAATTTCTCAGGTAACAAGGTAAACTCGGCGATCCCTGTGCAACTGAGAAGAAACCCAATGACTCATGAATTCAATCCATAACTTGAAGCTATTCCAATGCCTACATAATGAACACTACAACCGAGTATTTCTTCGAGGAAACAGCCTCAACTTTGCGAACGAAGCAAAGATGTGTTCATATTCATGTGTAAAGTAACGTTAAGTATTGGAAATTTTGAACTTTTGAGAATTCACCAAAGAGTAATTATTTAACAACCTGAAGGTACCTACATGGAACCAGTGAGTGATGGTGATCCCACTGGGACTCGAACCCTGAGCCTTGCATCCCCAACGGTAGATGATATATCCAAAATATGGCGAAGTGCAAATCTTAGATTCCACCGCTAGTCAATATCAATTAAAATACAGTTCTGTTTCTTTCTTTTCCACCGCATTTCGGATGGAACATAAGGCTTCAACTATATGAAGATTCAGTACAGGTGTTGATTTTGTGGGGGTGGAGTTACTAGCCTAACGCACAAACTTCCCCTTTAATTTGGATAATAACCAGCTAAGTCAGGTTTAAGAGTGTTTCAGCTGGGATCATTCCATCACTGAACCAACTTTTGAATTCTACTATATTTTAGTAAATATTAGCAAGAATATCGACTAACAAAAATGAACATTCGACTAATTTTTTTCTAATAGATTTCCTCATTCCGAGCTAGTTAGTGAGAATGCTCATATGGGTAATAACATTGACACATGTAGGAGGAGGGGAGAATAAAGAGGATATTCAAAATGTTAAAAAGAAACCAGTCATGCAATATGTGTTAATCTGAGGAGTGAACTTTCTTTGAAAAATGCTTAAAATCTGGTTGAACATCAGAAAAATCTTGTTTCGATTTTTTTCACACACTAAGATTATCTTAAGTAATTTTATAATGGTTCAAACGATTCTAGGATGCCTTGGCGGTTCAGTCATAGAATGCACACCAACCGTGAGAAGCTAGTAACTCGATCCAGTTAAAAAATACCACTGCTACTGAAACTTCAGACCTCAAGCATGAAGCCCTATTTTCCCCTGGGAAGGCGAAAAAATCAGATAATAAATAAATTAGTCTTGATATGTCTACTCTTGGAGATTTTTTTTAAATAAAAGATTGTCACTGTTTATGTTAACCGAATTCTGAGTGGTAGATATTCAGGTCAGTCACTTGTCGAAGATGTCATATGCAATAAACAGGTTTAGTTACAGGATTTCATTATGAGCTGACATTGGTTAGAGAACCATTGGAACTACTAAGTAGTTGTCTTGTCCTAGTTTGCGACTTTTCATCAGTACGCACACACCGGGGTTCGAACCCAGAACCTCCGGGTCACAAGGCTAGCCAGCTCGTAGACCACTAAGTCACTGTCCAATAAGCTGTCCAGTACTCCCAGGTTTTCCAATGGTTCTCTAACCAATATCAGCTCATGATGAAGTCCTATAACCAGTGAGTCAAATCCCTACAAACCAACACTTGAACATCAATGAGATGCTCACTAGCGACTTGCCCTATCCAGGTAGGTAGTTACCTGGAGTTCTAGTGAGAAGTCATGACCAGTAGGGTGCAGCAGGTCGGGTGTGAGGACAAATACTCACCGAAGACATTGGCTAGCGGTTGCGCTATATCGTGAATTGGCAGAAGTTAAAATTCATGCACTGGCCATGGGATCGGGTCCCAGTGGCTTAGTGGCATACGAGCTCGCCTTGTAACCGGGAGGTCTAGGGTTCGAACCCTGGCGGTGGGTGCGTACTGATGAAGAGTCCCAAACTAGGCTGACAAGACAGTTGTTCAGGAGTCCCAGTTGATTTTCTAATGGCTCTTCAACCAATGTCAGCTCATGATGAAATCGTATAACCAATCAATCAAATCTCCACAAACCAATACTTGAAAATAGGTTAAGTGTCACACATGTTGACATTCAACACCTCACCACCAGCCAGTAGGACAATAAAGGAACTAACCAACTCATTTAGATATTCTCAAGTATCGATTTGCAGGTATTTGATAACAGTTTTGGATACGATACAACAGTCGCAGAACCACGGAAAAACAGGCAGTGCTGGACAATTATTTCATTCTAGTCTTTTGGAATTCTTCACTGGCATGCATCCAATAGGGTTCAAACCAGGAATCTTCCGGTTATAAGGCAAGTTCATTCAGCTACTAAGATACGATCCAGTGACTCGTGAACTCCAAAGACTGTCACCTAATGAAATGCACAACTCAACGGTCAGACAATTTCGTCAGCGAATAACTCTCCTCTTACTTGACTCTGTGAATCCCTCTGGGTCACGATTTCTCACGAGAAGCCCAGATAACTACCTGAGCATCATATCAATTTTCAGGTGTCAGTTTGTGATTTAATTGAATATATGTTTGACTGAGATCAGTTAAAGAACCATTGCAAAATCAACTTATCCACGGTCAAACTTGAAAAAACTCAATTTAAAACAAATTAACCCTGAAAACATAATCTGATGCTCACCAGCGACTGACTACAGGATGGAGCTGTCTGGTGTTCCAGTGCGAAATCTTAACCAGTTGGGTACATGCAGTTGGTGTCGGTTACGCTAAAATCACAAACTGGCAGAGGTAGAAACTCATTGAGTCGGGTTCCAGTGGCTGAATGTCTTATGAGCTTTCCTTTTAACCAAGAATGTTAGGGTTTAAACCGCTGTTTAGGGTGTGTACTGTTAATGAGTTCCAACAGTCTAGGTGGAAACAACTGTCCAGTACCCCTTGGTAGTGTTCATTGGTTCTCTTATTGATAGCAGTCCAAGGTCAAAGTTTCTTTTTTAACTGAATTCATTTCAAATGTCCAAACCAAGTTCACTTTCAATAGTTTGAAAAAATTTGAGCAATGGGTATATGATATTCACTGTAATAAAGGTTTTTTTTTTATTTCCCAATGAATGAATGAAAAACAAAAAATATTGTCGTTTTTACTGACGTTTCGCTATTTAATGCTAATAGCTTTATCAAAGTATTATTAAACCAGAATTTACAAAATCTCACCTTATATATAACACGAAGAGCACTTCGAACAAACTACAGACCCGCATCAACAGCTGTCTTCGCCAAACACTGCTCAGGATCAGATGGCCGGCCAGAAAAGATCAGCAAAAGGGATGTCCTGTAGTGAACCAACCGGAAACGGATAGTGCAACAAATATGCAGGAAGAAATGGAGGTGGACTATGGCCATACTCTGAGAAAATCACCAAATGACATCACACGCCAGGCCATCGCTCGAGTGAAACCCACCGAATGGGAAGCAGTGAGTTGGTCTTCAGTGCGCGGGTAACATAGAGGAAGAGGTCATCTGAAGACGAGATGACAGCATGTGGGCAGACGTGGAACCAGGTGAAAACCCTAGCAGAGAACCGTGCAGCTGAAGTCCTATGTTCATCAAGGAAGTAAAGGAAACAATATTTATGCGTTGTCAAGTTGGCTAGTTAGTAAAGATAACAAAACCAAGTGTAGATTGCTGGATTTGATAAGTGTAAAATTATAAAAGCAGCGTGTGTTGACGTAATGGAATTGCTGATCACATTCATGTTGATTGCATCATCTCATGGAGGACGCGGGTCTTGTAACCAGGTCAGATTCTGTTTTATTCCATCATTCCTATTCAGACAATTTGGATTCCACTTAATATGAAGTACTTTTTGTGATATTATACGTTCTTTATGATTTCTGAAATTTTTCTGGATTATTTCAATACTATCAAAATCAATTTTGTGTTCTGATTCCATAGCGTGTAGGAGACTTATGGCTAATGGTTTTTCTACCATTTCTAGTTCAATTGGGTTGAGCAGATGCCATACGACGTTCATTTCTTCCGGTTTCGATTTCTATTAGTCCAATGTACATCGCATCACATTCCAAGCGTTTTATTTTATAGACACAATTAAACAGAGAATCTTTAGGGATTTGGTCTTCTATATTGACAAGGTTGTTTCGCAGTGTGTCTGATGTTTTGCAGAAAACTATGATGCCTAGCTTATTGCGTACTCTTCTGATGTCGTCTGACGTCTCTGCTGTATATGGAATGACAACTGTTGAGGCCCATCTTATGTGAACCTGATGAATTGATAGGTAAAATATGTTTACGTTAAGTTGACTTTCACATTTATTGATTATGTTGAACTGGAACCTTAGGTATGCATCTTCCAGCACAGTGGCCTATTAAATAATGCTTTGACTTTTTCGAAAGGGCGGGTGAAGTGTTCAATTCTGAACTCAGTGGAAACATCATCGTCTACTGTAGAGATACAAGTACGCATCTAGCGGGAGAGTCCAAAACAGAACGGAATTGGGATCTGAGATTCTAATGTCGGTCACCAGCAACTAAAATAACGTGATGTCAAATAAGATTTCAAGACGAGAAGCACCAATATACATTTGTGATACAAAATACATCATTTGAGAGTTATTTTATGACGTGAATGAGGTTTCCATAGAATTGAATATTCTTATATTTCCATATAATATATATATGTATAATTTATTTGATTTTAGAAACGTCTGAGAAGCACTCCTACATACATCTGGATGAATCTACCTTCACTACAACGTCCTCTTGGTTTACATTTATCTAAGAGGTATTAAAGCAACTTCAAAATGATATGCATTTTTATATATACCCAAACCAAGTTCACTTTTAACGGTTTTTATTACCTAATAACTTTCTATCTTTTATGAAAACAGTTGGTCATCATTTTGGGGGGCTAAATACATATCTATCGTACTAAAACAATTCCTGTTTCATTTACTTTTATAAGGGATCCATAAATGAGATGACAACCGGTTAATTTTTTATATTTTTTTTCTCTAAGCGGTGGAGTTTCTGTAGAGATTTTGTTAATTTTCTGCGATAAAGTTGTCAGTTGTCTCACTCCCTAATTTCGCTGTCTTTCCTGGTTTGGGCCCGCCTAGAAAACTAGCGAACTAGTGGATTAGGTGAGGTTTTGATATACAGACATAATTATCTACGTGTCATTTTTACATGTCTGTTTCTACTTCCCTCACTCTACTTATTGATTAATAACCTGATTCGCTCTCCTCCTACTTACGACCTTTGAAATCTTATTGGTCGTTCACTGTTTTAATTTATTAATGACATTAATGCCTTTCAAGGTCATTTTAAATATATATACGCCAGCACTGTCAGCCTTCTTTGGCTATCGTTTTGAGACAATAAAAAAACTCTCTTATCAACGTCCAGTCATTCCTTGCTTTTGCAGCCCGGTGGTGTTGTTGTTGTTGTTGATGTGTGATTAAGACAGATTAGCCAGCAAATCAAAGTTAGTATTCGCTCATAGTCTACTAGGTAGGAAGTTACCCCTTTCACTTACCTAGGTGCATCGTTTCAGCTTCAAGTTTCAAAACCAAACAGGGCGGGAAAACCAAGATAGATTTTCATTAATCCGGAATCATTGTGGAAATCAGCCACACTCAGCGCACAAAGAACAAGGTTAAGGTTTTCAACACTAATGTCGTATCACTTAACGCTTCTATGCGATTTAGAGGCTTGCTTACGCGTCACCGAAAGCATTCCTGAAATTGCGCTGCAAACTCATCAACAGATGTGTTTGCTCTATAGTCAAAATGAGATAGCCAATCGGAAAGGGTTATCAACAAGAAACTGTATCAGGAAACAACCCATAAACTTATTTCTCAACCATGAATTGGACACAAGCTGAGAAGATGAATGAGTGACATCTCTCCAAAGGCAAACCATGGGGAAGAACCCTAAATTGGAAAGGCAGGTTGGACACAGATCCGAGGATGATGTAGAGGAGATTGTGTGGCGAATAGATGACAGTCTACAGGCAGTCGTCGAATTGGTTAAAGGGGACTGCAGAGAACAGCATAAAATGTCCATGTGCTGCCGAAGCTTGATATCCTACACAGAACCTTAGGAAATAGTACCAAATCAGGATGGCAATACATGTGGTACGTCGGTGGCACAGTGGTTAGGACTCCCTCTGACCATGCACATGGTCCGAGCTTCGATCCGCTGCCGACGCACACCTGATATCTATGGTTGGCCTGTGAAATTTGGGTTGCCGATATTATATGCTGAAAATTTCATACTTGTACCAAAAATACAGTGTGGAATCAAGCTGTAATCAAAAATTAAAATAAAATTTGTTATAGCCAATGCCTTAGATACTGAATCGAAATAACCCCTGTTAGATTCAAACCCACATCACTCAGTTCTGTAGTCCAAAACCTTACCACTAAGCTATTCAAGCTTATGATTGTAGGACTGTTGTAGGCTTCTAATGCATACACTGACCAGTAACTAGACAGTAACAACTTTCTAGTCCAGCCATTGTTATTAACGCCAACTGAATTTCATCAGGTATTGTTTCGTAGAGATTTGAGTGATTGGTTACAGGATTTGATCATAACCAAAAGGTTCTGGGTTCGAACCCTGGTAGGCGCATACTGTGAAGAGATGAAACAGTTTTTCAGTACTCCCAGGTTTTTCAATGGTTTTCTAACCGATGTCAACTCATGGTGAATTTCACCAGTCAAAACATTTACTAGTAACGTACTTCTGCTTTAATTTAACAGAATCCTTCATGAACGATCTGTCTACCATACTGCTACTTATTCGGATATTCTAGACAACGTCTTGATTCTTATTCATTTTTCTTCGAGTCCCTATATCATTGTTCTGACATTTAGGTATAATGGAGAAGATTTGTCGCTCAGGTGGATAATCTTGATGTAGTTATCTTCTCTGAGCTAAATAGTTTATTTTTTGGAAGCTTCTATTGTCCTACCAGTGGTAGAGCACGTTGACCGCCTCACTTATTTGGGAAGTACCATCAGCCAGTGCCAACGGGTTGATCTCTGACGAAATCTCAGCACGAATACAAGGGGCTCGTTTCGCATTTGCCAGTTTACGCCGACTCTGGCGTAGACGAGATGTTCGACTATCGACCAAAGGGCGGGTGTACTGCTCATCAGTTCGCTCCGTCTTCCTTTATGTTTGTGAGACCTGGCCACTGAGAGTGGAAGACATGAAAAGACTAGCTGTCTTTGATCATAGATGCCTGCGCTCTATTTCCCGTGTAAAGTGGCATAATAAGGTGAGCAACAGTGAAGTTAGGCGTCGAGTGCTAGGTAAACAGGGGACATCAATCGACGAAGTTGTGAAGTTACAAAGACTGAGATGGCTAGGACATGTGTTACGTATGCGAAGCCATCGCCTCCCTCGACGAGCAATGTTAGCGGATATAGGGTCAGGCTGGAAAAAAGCTAGCGGAGGTCAAACCAAAACTTGGCTGCACCAGTCAATGAAATCCACAACAGTTGGTCTAAGCCACGTAGGAAGGTGTAGACTTCCAGGCTGGGGTCCTCGGGACGGTAAAAATCTATGGTTGGAAACAGTTGGTGACACGGCTCAAAATCGTTCTCAGTGGCACAGATGCATCCACTCCTTGTGACTTATGATCTCCAATGAAACTGTTTTGTTCTTCGTTATTACCCCTCCTTTGTCTCACACCTCTCCTCACTGTTTACATTATGCTTTTCTTGTACTTTCTTCTCTTGCTTCGCGTGCTACAGGGAGTGTGGCGACTTGGACTTCCGCACATTTGTGCAAAGTTCTATGTCGAAAACAGACAGACAAACAGACCAGCCAACATCTTCAGCGCATACACTCTAATTTGAAGTTTTAAAATCTAAGTTTTCAATTTAATTCTATGCACATCCAGTTCACACCTTTTTTTCATGAAAAACTATTCCTCATATTATGCTGATGTTTTCAGATCTGATGTAACTATGTTGCCTTGTCAGTTGTAATCCATATTCGCACGTTCAAACTTTCATATTAGTGACTTTCGGTCACCTTCTTTATTATGTGGAATTATATAATGATTATTAGTCTCTATGTAAACTTATATATGTATGAAGGCGACTGTACAGCTTTTTAGAATAAAGTCACCAAAAAGATCAACATCTTTGCTGAATGTGTTGTCCTTTCCCTTCTACTATCTTGATGGGTATTTTCCACGATGAATTACTCTCACTGCAACATGAGATGACACAACATTCAACCTCTGAAGATTGAGAAATATGTCAAACAAATGCACATAGCCTAGGTCTGAACGCTTAATTCCGACACATCAGGCGACAGAGAGAGAGAGAAAATAAAAGAACTGTCTGTCTCTCTGTCTGTTTATTTTCAACATAGAACTTTGCACAGATGTGTAGCAGTTCAAGTCGCCACACTCCATGTACCGCACAAAGCAAGCGAAGAAAGTAGAAGAAATGCATAATAGATACAGTAGACAGGGATATGAGACAAAATGAATAGTAATAACGAAGAACAACATAGTTTCATTGGAAATCATAAGTCACAGGAAGTGGATGCGTCTTCGCCATTGAGAACGATTTTGAGCCATTCACTAATTGTCTCCAGTCATTGGTTTTCACCGTCCTGAGGATCCCAACTAGGGAGTCTACACATTTCTACATGACTTAAACTAACTGTTGTGAATTTCATTGACTGATGAAGCCATGTTTCGGTTTGACCACCACTAACTTTACCTTTTCCAACCTGACCCTATGTTAGCTAACATTGCCTGTTGTCGAGGAAGGCGATGGCTAGGCGGAATGTGTAACACATGTCCTAACTATCGTAATCAGTGTAACTGCACAGCCTCGTCGATAGGTTTCTCTCCTTACCTAGCACTTAACCGATGTCTAACCTCAATATTGCTTACCTAGTTATACCACTTAACACACACGGGAAATAGAACGCAGGCACCTATAATGAAAGACAGCTAGCTAGTCTTTTCATGTCTTCAACTTTCATTGGTTAGGTCTCACAGTCAGGACACAGTGGGCTGCTGCGCAGTGCACACGCCCTCTAATCGTTAGCTGAATATCACGTCTACTCAGGAGACGGCGTAAACTGCCATATGCAAAACTAGCCCTCTTTATCCGTTCTGAGATTTCGTCAGCGATCACTCCCTCCATATCTTTAAGCAAGGAGTAACTCGATTTAGTTCAATCCTGTAACTGCTGCTCAGCTCAAGGTGTTCAGAAAGCTCTGGATTCTGTCAGCGTCTTCATCTAGGACGGAGGACTATATCGTCTGCATATTCTAAGTCAACGAGATTAATTCCCCCGCCCCCCGGTAACACGTCAATCCCTAAGTCTCTGAATTGAGTTAGGGTTAATTCCATTAGTACATCTATGATGAAACTGAATAGAAATGGCGACAGTGGGCATCTCTGTTGGACACCACTCCAGATGACAACTCGCCGTTAGCCCTCACCTGGCTCACTGCATGAGTTCGAGTAGAATGTCTTGATCAGTGGGTGATGTATTTTCTCGGCATTCCCTTTGTCTGTGTGTCTGTTTTCGACATAGAACTTTGCACAAATGTGCGGAAGTTCAAGTCGCCACATTCTGTGTAGCACGCGAAGCAAGAGAAGAAAGTACAAGAAAAGCATAATAGAAACGGTGAGCAGAGGTGTGAGACAAAGGAGTAATAAAGAATAATAATAATAAAGAAATACAGCCAAGCGTCGCTATATTACTTCTCGGTCAACAGAATCAAATACCGCCTTTACGTCAAGAAATATAACGATTGTTGAACGCCGGGATGGTGAGTATGCCTATGTTTCAGAATCTGTTGAAGCGTGAAGATATGATCACTATTAATACCCTCTTCCTGGTCTAAAGCCTCCCTGCCTGGTTCAGAACAAAATTAATTAATTAATTAATTAATTAATAAGAACAGAATTAATATACGCAACATTTTTATTACTATTATTTCACATTAAAATGCTGGGAAAAAAACAAGACACTGTTGACACTGATTCTCTTCATTATGTAACAACACAAGAGAAGAAAGAAAGAAAAAAGAAACTTAAATATGAGCAAACCAACAGAAAAAAAGAACCCAAAAAATTATATATCAGAAGTTGGTAAAGGCAGAAAAATATCAACTAACAAAATAAATGATAACAGAATACCCTACCCTCTCTCCTCTCCCTTAAGTACTCAAATGGAATAAAGATAAATAAATAAACAAACGTCAAAAAAAATGCTCATCTTAACCTTGGACCAGAATAGCATCAATGAAGAATGAGTTAGGAATGCGTTTCACTCACATACGCAGCATCAGTATAAATCATCAGTATATAGAGAGAGGCACAAGAAGGCCCAAAGTATCGATCCATCTTCCCCACCACACTTAAGAAGGCAAACAAACAAACAGTTTATTGCATCAAATGAAGGCAAAAATAAAATTGAGAATTATGAATATCAGTAGACATTTAAGTAGTATCAGTAACTTCTAGATATAAAATAAAATGTTTTCTTCAACAGAAAGGTAGATAAGTAGGCGGGTGAGTTGATATGTATACGGATTTTGACCCGGATATGTTACACCACTAATATGTTTCTAGCATATATATATATATATATATATATATATATATATATATATGTCTGGTTACTACACTTATACTACTTATAAATAGAGAGGGAGGGTGTAAAGATACTACTTGTCAAAATATACAATTCATTTGATGTGTAGGCAGAAAATATAAGACAAAGAGTTTTTCTGTTCCACTTCGTGATGGGAAATGACTTCAATCTTCGAAATTTTGCATATATCTCATTACCACTACTACTATAATAATTCAGAATAATTTAAGTAGTATATATTGAAAGTTTAAAAAAAACAACCCATGCACAAAATGAACAAATATAAAGGCAAGCCAAAAAATATGTTGTGTTTTGTTGAAAAAAAAATGATAAAAAGACGGTGGGGATCACTTTCTCTGCCTGCCCCTCCTTCACCTCCTCGCCATCATTGTCTTCTTCTTCCTCTCTGGATATGTTGAAGGTTAAGTTACCACAACAGGAAGTTTTTGCACAGCCTTCTATTCAATATTGATATGATTGTATGTCTGTAGGTGTGTGTGTGTGTCTCTGTATATGTTCGTTTCTAACACTAAATCTAAATAAAGGACTGAATAACAATTGTCATAGAAGCAAGACAAAATATACATATAAATGATGTTCAATGCGTTCAATGGAAAATAGTTATATATGTAATATATATATATGTAATATATATATGTATATATATATATATATAACTTGATGACTTCTGGTTCTGATATATTGACTGTGAACTCTCTCTCTCTCGCTCTCCAGCTGCCAGTAATATCCTGCTGAAGATAAAGCAGGTACTGATTTTAAAAGTTTACCTAGAAAGAACACCAAAGAAGAATTTATGTACAGGCGTTTTGTTTAAATTAAACAGAAATAAATATGGCGGCATTTATGAAAATGTAGCGCAAACATAGTAAATCTGATTAACCTTATTCCGACTATGAAATGAATTTCGGGTTAAACAAAACTGGGCAAAGTTAAAGTATAGGAGTCAATTCGTCTTTGACTTTGAACAACCAATCAGAATTAAAGTGCAAATAAGTTGCATAATCGATAGAAAAATTTGCTAAGGAATATTACAAACTTGATACTACTCTGTATAATTGACTTTTATATATTGCAAGAATATCTCATCGAAACTACGAATGAAGGTCAGATTTGAAATGACCTTTTGTAGCTCTCTCTCTCTCTGAATTTGATTGGCTCTTCAGGGTCAAATTTTAGCAAACTGTGACTTTGGCTATGATAGTTTAACTTTGCCCAAAAGTGAATTGAAGCCTGCCAAATTGTGTGATTGTATGTGCTAGTGATACATTCATACGAGTAGTTAGAAGCCACTTACGTCAGTCAGTCAGTCAGTAGTGGTACCGAGTCAGACTGAAGTGATTTAAACTTAACAAAGCTGTTATGATTATTCGGCGTTGAATCCATCAGTTGTATACCTGGTTTAATCCAGATTATACAGCCATATTAGTTGAAAACACTCAGTCAAATTTATCATTTTCAAACTACTCAGTTTGACATCAGGGGAAAAAGCAAGAAAAGTGACTATTACTGATGAACGTGAGGGGTCTTTTGCCTTCCTGATTGACACTTCTCGTATCAAGTGAATTGACAAGCTGAGGATATTTTTTTAAAGGACACACTGGCATTAGCGTGAATTTAAAGTCGACTAACATGTTTAAATTATGTATTTTTTATTTATATCTGATAGGCGATATCACTCAACTGACGACAAAAACACAAACTGAACTTATTGTTCAGTTCGGTTATTGTTGTAATACTTCACATCTCCATTGTATTCTATCCTTGGCCGTCTTCTTTGGCTTTGGTAGGATCTCATTTTTTCTTCATGTATTCTTCAAGTCACCCATGGACGCCCAACAAGTCTTTTGCTATTCGCGTTCCACTGCGTCTCCTTAGTGTATTACCTGTTGTCGTTACGTTCAGTTTCATACGGTTCACTAAAAAATCTTCTGCATTACTGATCACTGCTACCCAAACTAAAAGCAGTTGGCTTCATGAATATAACAAAATAAAGGAATTTCCCTTAGATGATCAGCATACTAACCATGCAACCTTTCGGCTCAAGAGAGAAGGGGTTAGAAAAGATGGACTACGAAAATTGCACATCTCAACTTATCATATGGTAGTCGATAGCCGGTGGTAAGATCTTAATACAGACGACGAAAATCTGTGAAACGCCTCCAAACAAGAGGTGTGTGTGTGTGACCTGTCCCACGGAGTTGTCTTCTAGGTTCAGCTATCAGGCAACTTCTTCTGCTTTGGATATTTCAGGACACACACACACAGCGGTTAGGACGCTTGCCAATCATGCACATGGTCCGGGGTTCGATCCCCGGCCGACGCACTCTGACACCTGGCTAAGCCAGAAATAATCCTGGTAATGAGGAAAGGTTGGACATGAGGCTGGCAACCCCATCCTGTAAAAATAAACACTGTTACAGAAACTTCAAGCCACTAGCTTGAGGCCTTATGTTCCACTGGGAACGTGAAGGAAAAAAAAGGACACACACACTTTCATATTCACAGAGAAAACAACGATACTGGCACTTACATTTTGTTGATATGGTGATAGACCAGGTTGAATTTGACCTCCACCTTCACTTCCTGTGAGTTCTTTAATAATTGAATTATATCCACCTAGAAGACCGATTGCAGCTGCTGTTGCCGCTGCCATTTGAGGCGGTAGACCAGGAGCACCAGCTGTCGCTGAGACAACATTAGCAAAGCCAAATGTTGAATTGGCAGTATTCACGTTAGCCTGTTGTTGATTCAAATGGACAGCAGCTAAAGTCTGTCAGACATAAAAGGGAAAAGAAAATCACGTAGAAGCCACTTGAAATATGACTGAAGTGTGTGAAATTAAGGCAGGATTTAATTCAGTTTCTTCTGATGCATTAATCAAAGCTTTATGTCATAATATATTGTAATTATTACTATTCCTTTGGGTTCTCAGTGAACAATAGGGCTTCAAGATCACATCCCCATTTCACTCTACCATCTGCTGTCTTTTTAGCCAACTCTATGATCACCCATGAGATAAAAACGCCTCATCTCGTCGTCAAAGCATCTTTCACCATGTCACCCTTGAACCCATGGTCGATTTGTTACTTTCTATTAGATTTCCACGATAGGATTTTCCTCATTATATGTGATGTCACTCAACGACTTCATCCGTGTACGTCCAGTCCACCTCCATTTCCTTCTACAAATTTGTTGGGCAATGTGTATTTTGGTTGGAACGTTACATTCGTCACTATTGTCTTCTTCAAGTGTACTGGATTACATCTGAAATCGAAACTGTGAAGAGTACACAATTAGCACTAGACTAAATCGCATGAAACTATGCGTGTTTTGTCTTTCTGTCCTCAGAAGTCGATCATTACTGCGCATTTCACTATCTTCAAGATTGTGTTACGAAAGTCATGGAGATTTATAGGAAAATGTGCACACTTGGCGCTAACCAGTCTCTGACCAACTCCAATCGCATCTAACGCTTGAGAGTGGATACCATTTTAATGTTGTGAACACTGAAAAGACATCCTGGTGCGCAAATTCATCTTGAGATAACTGTGAAATTCTCTGAAGCTGGAAAGCTTACTTGACGACTACTCAAACACTGTTTTCTAAGCCATGACATCCCGAGTGGAACATAGATCCTCAAGTCGTTATGAAGTTTCAACAGAGATGTTGTTTTTACATAGTGAAAATTCTGTCCTAACGTGCAACCTTCCTATTCTTCCCAGCATACTATTCACTAGGTACGGTTTGGTGTACATTAATAGGGAGTAGAATCCGGACCTCATGTGGGATCGAAGAGCACTCTACCACTGAATAGGCGCTATACAAAACTTATTGAAACACTTTTCAACTACTTAATAAAAATATAAGTAGTGCAGTAAATCATACGAAAACTCATATGCCAGAGAACATCAGGTCGATGGTGTATTAGCATTAAAATTAGTTCCACTTTAGAAGAAAGCCATTACTGATTACACTGAAACTTTATAACATGGTCAAATCACTCTCACGTTTCTAATCGGATGAATACGTTTGCCTGGAGTCCTCCATGTTTCTTAATATATTTTGGTTCCTAGTAAGAATGCATTAATTACATCTGAAGGATAAACATCATGCTACTTCTTGTAGATGACGACTAGCAATGTAATCTAGGATAAGCGTTTAGTTCTAGAAGGACGTTGGATGTTCCTACAATATGCAGTGGGTAATGGCGTTCCCAGTGAGACTTAAATGAAGCACATGTCGCCTCAAACGTCAGAGCGTTATTCACCAGGCCATTTAGGCTAGATTTCCAATCAGAATACCATCACTCCCACTGGGGATCGCAGGTGCATTCATCATCCTGAATTCCACTGTCAGAGACCTTCAACCACAATAACAGTGCTACATGTCCATGAATAATAAACAGAGATCACAAGATCGCTAGAAAATTAACAGTTCTGTATTACTCTGAGTGTTATATTGGGTGAAAAATTCCATTACGCAATTATATTTCATTGCAGTGCTTAAGTTTTATCTTTGTATTTAAAAAGAATCTTAAATGCTCAAGAGCTTGTCCGTAAGGATTAAATCTCTTTTTCGAGTATTTCCACGGATTCACATAAGTTAGAGAAGCATAGAAAACCAACGATGTAGTTCTGGACACTTGTTTCATCCTAGATTAGGAATCATCGGTAGTACTCACCCACTGGGGTTCGAACCCAGGACCTTCCGGTTACAGGGCGAGCTAGTTCATATACCACACAGTCACTGTAAACAGATTCAATGGCCAGTCCATGAATTTTAACTTCTACCAATTCGTGACTTAGCTCGACCTCCAGTGGATGCGTGCTACCAATGATTCCAAAACTAGGATGATGCTCAGAAGTACACATTTTAAGATCCAAGGACATAATTGAAGAACAGTTATGTCTCATGTATAGGGACACGTTGCCAACCGCAATCAGGCCATTCCTTAAGTTTAGTAGGAAATTGTAGATATTTTATCTGTCTACGAGAGTAGATAACACCACTTAAGGTCATATCTTAATCGATTAAAACAAAACTAACGAGAGAATATGTATACTGTAGAAAGAGGAAATTTTAAGCAGGCCGCTAATACTTGGTTGTGTTCATCAGTAACCAAAGTGACAAAGGCTTGAAACTGTTTTTGATATGATTTCTCTTGATAAAGCAGATAAATTCACTTCTTGGTATCATCCCCGATATCAATTAAATCTTCATAAATGGAAAGTACTGGTGATACAGCTTCAAAGGGCCCTCAGTAGCGCAGAAACATTCGCTCTATGGGATCTCTCATATCCAATATCCGTCATTCTTTTCCTTGTTAATATATTCTTTCTCGGACATACTTCTGCTCAGTATTAGTCATCTGAAGTCTCTTTTTCCGCTTTCTTTCCCCATCTTTGTGTGCTACATGGAGTATGATCACTTGAACTGCTGCAGTTCTGTTCAGAGTAATTGAGTTCAAATCATACAATCATGAAAACTGTTAAAATGAGTATTTGACTGAAATATACCGTATTTTTGTCTTCATTTCATCTCTGAAAGCACTTATTATTACTCCTCTGAGCTCCGAGTGGATTACAGAGCTTCAACGACACATTGCTATTTCTCTATCCTGAAGAAGATTAGTCCCCACTGTATTGAAAGCTTTCAGTGTTGTTGAAGACACTATGATCATGCTCATGGTCGTCGTCGTCTGAGTGACCGGAGTACAGTTAACAATTTGGAGAGCCGAACTCCATTTCATCTGTTCTTAGTGATTCCTAAGATTTTTTTCTCTATTCATTGGCAATCTGAACAGCCTTCTCAGTTTCGAACATTATGCGGATATTACATGTTCCGATGCACCAATCACCATCAACGAGTGAGGTTTCACAGAGCGTTTACTTCCTTTACTTATCTGTCTAGGAAGCACAGTTTCAACCACACAGGGAAATTATCAGTCAGCCAAATTCCGAAAGATAAGATATGCCTTCATCAACCTGAAACCAGTTTGGAAATCTTCTGCACTCCATAGCATAAAGAACATCAGGCGTCAGGTCAGTGCTCAAGTGGAGTTCCAATGGGAAGCGACAAGTGGGTCATCAGTGTGATAGTGAAATAGAGGAGACTGTGGTAGGAGTGGATGAGATTATGGACAATCATGGACCCTTCGGCAAGGAAACCACCAATCAGAAGACAGTATTTCTGTGCTAACAATAACGCTAATAATAATGCACATAAAAGTCTATAAATATATCTTGATTTTCTCAATAAACGGTCTGTTGTCTAGCCCTTGTTTACTGTCGTTACAGTATAAAGTATAAAACTCAAGCTCACCTGATTTTGTTGATGTTGTTGTTGTTGTTGCAGTTGGGCAACAAGTGATGTAACATTTGGTTGAGATGATTGATGACTAGAAAAATAAGTATTATGCCTTAATTGATTATTATTATTATTATTGTTAGTAGTATTATTAGCATTTCCCGATAAACTATTGACTGGAGATGATCCTGTAGGAACAGTGATAGTACTGTTTGGACTTGATGAATTCGATACACCTCCTCCTGTATTACAACAAAATGATCCTTGGGGTGTACTATACTGTGGTGATATTGTCAGTGTAGACGGTGAACAAATAGAAGAAGATGCAGCATTCGCAGAGCATAAGGCAGCGGCAGCATTTGCATGAGCAATTGCAGCTTGTACCATTTGTAGACTAGGTATTGGTTGCCCTGGACTGCCTGTCTGCAGATTATAGGCACCAGGATTTATATTACCCGAAATCAATGTCTATTGGGAATGTAAATATAAGAGAGCGAGAGAGAGAGAGTGAGACACTAGTTAGATTAAACAAACACAAAAATGAATCATCAATGATAATGTGGTTTCTAAGGTTAAGCCTTGGAAAGCACTCAGTTGATAGAAACTGAAAAAATCCATAAAACACGAAAATAACAATCCAAGTGTTGGTTTGTAGGGACTTGATTGATTAGTTATAGGATTTCATCATGAGCTGACATCAGTTAGAGAACCATTGGAAAATCAACTAGGATTACTGAACAGCTGTTTCGTCCCAGTTTTGGACTCTTCATCAGCACGCACCCACCTCTAGGGTTTGAACCCAGGACCTTCTGGTTACAAAGCCAGCTCGTAGGCCATTAAGCCACTGGGACTTGCCAATCCAATGGCCAGCCCATGAATTCTAACTTCTGCTAATTCACGATATACAGCAACCACTAACCAATGGCTTCGGTGAGTATTTGTCCTCACACCCGACCTGCTGCAGCCTAATGGTCACAACTTCTCACTAGAACCTCAGGTACTACCTGCCTGAATATGGTAAGTCACTAGTGAGCATCTCATCTCTTTGTAGATTCAGTCCAAAGCTGTACAGCTATCAAGTTTAATCACAGATTGATACAAATTAGAGAGAAATTGAAAACCAACTAGGGAAAACTGGATAGCTGATTCATCCTGGTTTGTGAGTGATCAGTCGTTTCTTGGAATTGTAGTAAGAGGTTGTGACGAGTGGGGTCCATCACCAAGTCGAGAGTGAGGACAGGTACTCCCTAATGACACTGGTTGGTGTTTACACTAAAATCACGAATTGGTAGGGGTTGAAATTCATGAACCATTAAGTCAGGTCTGAGTGTCTCAATGGTCTACGAGCTTGTCTTGTGACCGGACAAGGACCCTGTGGGTGTGTAGTGCTGAAGTGAAGAGACCCAAAAGAGTAGGCAGACAAAGCTTTCCAGTGTTCTCTGGAGGTTTTAAATGGTTCTCTAACTGATATCCATCTGTGATGGTCAAAGCCGAAATAAATCAAATCGACACAAGCTAACCTTTCAAAGCCTAAATTTGTGTTTTTAAGTGCTGGAAGTTTTAATGATAGTCATTTTTGAGCGACACTTATCGACTAGAGGTTTTAAATTACATAAGTCTCGTAATTTATCTATTATTTTTTAGGATATGTGGTTTCACATGATTTAAAACATTTTACAGGGTGGAGCTCAGGAAGGCTTCGCGTGCTCTTGGAAGTGTGTGGGCGGTTTTTACTTCACGCCTGCCCACACCACCGTCGACGTTGATTGATTCTTTGGGCACCCGAAACACAAAGAGGGTTAGTGTTGCATGACCATAGAATCCAGGGGAAAACTGCTTGAGGCCAGCCGGTCACACACAGCCTGTATGAACTGGTTTCTTGATTTGTTTCCGTATTGGTAGACTTAGGACCGGTTACGGACCACTGTATGATAAGTCACGATGTACAATTTTCGGGGTCGACCTTTCCTAATCCTCTCTCTCCAAAATAGAGAGACAGCACAGCTGCCTGGCATGCTGGTCATCTGAGGAAAACACCTGAGTGCTGTTACACCCTGTTCCCCAGCAGCACGACTTCGCCCACAGACCCCCAGTATATTGTTAATAACTTGCATTATGCCAGTAACTACTTTTAGTCTAATCACTATCCTAACATCCTTCCTGGCATGGTATGACCTGCAAGAACAATAGTTTCAGCCAGTGTAGCTTGTTGGGTCATTGCGATGTGCAAACCCGACCACAACCACGCCAAGGTAACAGCTATCGGTCAGGCAGGGTAGAGCTCTCTTTCTTATCAAAATGATTGTGAAGAATGAAAGGAAAGCGTGTTTTCTATGCAACTGATAACGCCAGTACGCAAAGCGTCATTCAGAGTTGACACTAAATAAATAAACTGCAGAAGGATAACATGAACGGAGGTTGGCAACAGTGTTCAAAGAGTTCCATTAGTGGTTTTACATGACTCAGTGTAAATCAATTACTATTTCTGTGAATTTTCCTTTAGGAATACCTAGAATATTTTCTCTTGTTAGTGGTTTTCACACAGCCTTTTACAATGATTCTCTGTCTCTTAGAAAGTTTAACCTCTTAATCTATCCAGAGAAACAATATCTATATATATAAATATGTAAATGTATATATATATATACCCTTTTAGATGTTGATCAATCATAAAACTATCAATATTATCCTCCTACTTCTTTTCTGCCCTATAATTTCCTCTCAGGAGTAATTCTTAATGACAGTATCTAGCAGTGAATAAGTCTATCCCCTTCCTCACCCTCTGCTCCTTCAAATTACTTTTTCCATTGAATGATTGTAAGAGACTATAAGGTGACGCCCATTCCTATAGTCAACGTCTATGTAAGGTAGAATAAAAGCCTTGTCTATTTTCTAGTTAACTGCAGCAAAATAAGCAAATCAAATGTCATTAAATTGCTTCCATAAATTCTTCTGCTTTATATACCATATAAACAAATGTCTGTCAACTCCCAGCTTGACTGTGTTAAGATGAACAGCTTTCTATCAGGAATTAGCAAATTGTCTTCGTCTAATGGCCTTAAATTAAATCCTTGCAAAAATATCAGACTGTTATTGTTCAGTTTTCGATGTAAACGAAGGTTAAATGAAGCTGTTGGTTCCTATGACCGTTGCAAAATTGATTATACTGATATAGAAACCAAGTCTGAAGTTGTTAAGTATCTTGGATTAATTGTTTCTTCTGACCTATCCTGGTCTTCCCGTTTCTTAGCGATTTCTAAAAGAATATTTCGTCTGACTTCTCACACTGAGAAGCTAGGGGATTCAGGCATAACCCGACCCCTCCTCCTCTTACAGTTTGTCAAATCGTGTATTTTACCTATTCTTCTTTACTGCTTACTCCTGCTTATTCTTCCCTGGATTGCTTAAAAAAGACTATGTCATTCTTGGTAGAACTCTGAAGACTGTCAGTAGGACGAGTGGTATCCCATTGGATCATATCGTTGACATTGTCGCTGATAGACACTTGATGTAATGCAACAAATTTGCTAAATGAATTTTGTCAGACTCTGAGCACCCACTCTACACGCAGCTCCAACCTTGTGTCTCCTGAGGTAAAACGAGAAGTCTTTTCAGAAGACGTTATGTACATAAGTCTAAGTATAAAAATTCAATTATACCACATTTCCCTGCACGTACTTTATGTGATGAAAATAGTGTTCGGCATGAACTAACTAACCTTCTTTGCACTACTAAATAAACCATTTCCGCCACCCTTATAATATCAAGCATTATTGTTAGTGTACTTCTTATTTTTATAATCCTCTCAATTTTTTGTTTTTGTTTATTTTTTTTCATAAGTGTGAACATAATTTGGGCTGCGTTAGAACTGTTTATTTTGTGTTTCCCCTAACTACACTATATCAGCAGAACATTAGATTCAGTAATCTATAACATTTTCTATAGTTTGGTTTGTAAGGATTTGTTATGTTTTTACGAGTTGATCACGGATTGATATCAGTTAGAGAACCATTGAAAACCAGCACTGGAGTACTGGACAGCTGTTGTTTCATCCTAGTCTGGGAATCATCGGCAGTACGCACCCACTGCCAGGATTCGAACCCATGACCTTCCAGTTACAAGGCAAGCTCGCATACCATTCAGCCACTGGGAGCCGATTCAATGGCTTATGAGTACTACCGATGATTCCCAAACTAGGATGAAACAGCAGCTGTCCAGTACTGCAGTGCTGGTTTTCAATGCTTCTCTAACTGATATCAATCCGTGATCAACTCGTAAAATCTATAACATGCTAAAATTTCCAAACTGAATCGACAATACTGTTTGACACAAACTCACTGTTATTATTATTACTACAATTATTATATTTAATACTTTCAATTCGTGATTCGAATATTTGTGACTTTATATCGTAAACGTGGACAAATCCCCCTGGTTACTTTTGTTTTAATTTTTAATTTTATTTATATTTTAAGTAAATCAGATGCAATTTTGTGACGAATGATGAGAATTTCATTCTCTATTATAAGTACTGTTTTTGGAATAAAGTAAATTATTATTATATAACTACATAAATCACTTTCAGTATATGAATAGAATCAAATACGAGGTAGGTTGTACGGAGCGGCAACCATCTACACGCTTGATGAAGCATTTACCCAGGCGGTTGGAAAGACCTGACAACAATCTATGAAAAACAAGTTTAATTGTAAAGCATCTCATAGACATGAGATTACTTCTGTCCAGGAGTTATTCACCGTTGTCACTGGACAAACAGAACAATCCACTATAAAAAGAACTTAGTCAGAGCTCTGTTCATCAATAGAGCACGGAGAAATTTGTTCTGACAGTACGAGTGAGCATTGAAATAAAAGCTTTGGAGGGTATTTCATCTAAGAATGGATATCCTGAGAAGCTCATTAATAAATACTCTAAAGAAATTAGCCCCTGCAAAGCTATCCAAATAGCTCCGAAGAAATCTGTCTATATCCATTCGCTATTCAAAGGAAATGATGTATACAAGAAGTATTCAGACGAAGAATCAATAAAGCTATCAAAAGAACTTGTTATGCTGAGAAACTTGTTTTCCCTAACACCACCAATAGTGTGCTACAGTAATCTGGAAAAGACCAGTCGTCAATCCTCAACACTTCAAACTGAGTATATCCGTTTGATGAGTGTGTTTGTGGAAGCAAATACATAGGTCCTACCTACAGAAAGGCAACCGTCTACTCACATGATGGAGCATCTGCCAAAACGGTTGAAAACAGCTTCATTCAAAGTACTAAAAACTTCAATAACAAAACATCTTGTGGACTACGGACATGATATTGACGCTGTCAAGTCATTCACTATTGTCACAAAACAAAGAAGCAGGAAGATGCTTGTAATTGTAGAGGCTTATGCAATTCGAGTTTATAAACTAGGTCTCAGTGTACAAAAGGAGATGGTCATCACTCTGAATCTACCAGGGTAATACATTTTACTTGTTAATTGTTATTATTAATATTACTAATATTAGTAACACTTTATTCTACCTCTTATTATTATTCTTGATTTATTTAAAACTATCTTTTATTAGTAGCATTATCTTAACTCGCCTCAGCATTATAATTCCAACCAAATACCGTGCCGGCTAACATTGCTTTTTGAGGAGGACAATGGTTTAGAATGCACAGTACCAGGTCTTAGCCATCGAAATCGATCGACTTACTCGCCTTAATTAACACTATATCTAATAGGGGAGGTAGAACGCGAAAACACCTGTTGCTGAGGGGCAACTGACCTCTTCCTATCCTCCACTTTCAATGGCCATACTTCACAATCATAAAATGTGGTAAAGCGAACAGCTGCACGATAAGTACACAAGTTCTTAAGTCGGGTATCACGTCTACGCCAGAGATGACGTAAGTTGGTAAAGTCTATTACCAAAAAATCAATTATAATAAATGAGTAGCATTAATTACATAAGGTTCCATCCATATGGGTAATAAACTTACACGAAAGTTATTCGCTTGCAGTAAACCAGTTGCCGATGATAGATAAGCGGTATTCTCATAGGCGGATGCAAGTGAAGGAGGTAAGGCAGAAATTGGAGCCCACTGGGCAGCTGCGGCGGCAGCTGCTGCTACTGCCGCTGCTGTAGATGCATCTGTCGCTGAGGTGAAAATCCCGTTGGGTGATTCAACTAGAATATGAGAGGAGAAAAACAACACCAGTTGAATAAGTGTCAAATCAAATTTGTTGACTAACTTAAGAAAGTAAATCTGATAAGTTAAGCAATCAAAATGAGTTCAAAAGTACTAATTCACAAGGATTCGATTTGTTCCAAGTTTGACCACAAATTGATACCAGTTAGAGAACCAACCAGTGAAAACAAACCAGAGAATACTGGAAAAATGTTTCGTCCTAGTTTGCGACTCTTCAGAAGTGCGCAAACACAATAGTTTGAATCCACGACCTTTCGATTACAAAAGAAAGCTCGTGCGCCATTCAGTCACTCGGATCCAACTCAATGGCCACTCGACGAATTCTCACTTCCATCAGTTCTTGATTTTATAGAGATCATACAATATCACGGACCAGTATTTGTTCTCCCAACTTCCAACTTGAACTCCATTCAACCAATGACTAGCGAGCATCAGATTAATTTCCAAGCGTTGGTTTGTTGGGATATGATATAAATCCATGGTGAAACTTGAAACAAATGAAAATTCTATTTTTCAAGAGTTGATTTGTAAGGGTTAGATTTGTTTTACAAATATGACCACAGATTGATATCGGTTAGAGAACAATTGAAAACCAGCGAGGAAGTGCTGGACAGCTGTTTCATCCCAGTTTGGTAAGCATCTTCAATACTCAGCCACTAGTGGTCGCGCTAAATCACGAATTGGTAGAAGTTAGAATTCATGGATTGACCATTGAGGAATCGGGTCCCAGTGGCTGAATGGTATACCAGCTTGCCTTGTAACCATAAGCTCCTAAGTGCGAGCCGTAATAGTGAGTGGATAGTGCCAATGAGTCCCAAACTAGGACGAAACACTTGTCCAGGACTCCCTATTTGGTTTTCAATGGTTCTCTAACTGATACGAATCCGTGGTCAAACTCGTAATAAAATTTTACTGTTGTAACAACTCAAAATCAAGTGTTTTAGTCTCCAAGCAGGAAGCTGATGGATGCAATCGTCTGTATATCTTACCAAGCTTCCACGAGTTATACATATTCCATAATTATTTATTAGCAATCACAAAAGCCAAACTGGGACCAGACAATACGGGAAGGGAACTCACCATGGGTAGAGAAGCTCTAGGAGAAATGAATGAAAACGGAGAACTCTTCGCCGACTTCTGCGCCTTCAACGAACTGGTGATTGGTGGCAGTGTATACAAGCACAAAGATATCCACAAGGCTACATGGGTGTCACCAGACGGGCAAACCAAAAACCAAATCGACTTCATCTCAATCTCAAGGAAGTGGAGGCGCAGCCTACTGGACACAAAAGCATAAGAGGAGCAGATGTTGGCTCAGACCACTATCTCGTACAAGGGACAATCCAAATCAAATTAAAAGCTTTCAGGCAATCAGGAGCTGCAGATAGGCCACAAGCCAAGTTCAACACTCAAAAGCTGAAGGACCAGGCTACAAAGGACATCTTCATTGCAAGCATAAAGGACAAAGCTGAGATACAAATCAACACCAGCGAAAAGGTCAGCGTCGAAAAACACTGGAACAACTTGAAAACGGTGTGGAGCCAAACCTGCATAGAAATTCTAGGCAGAAAAAAGAGACAGGACAAACAGTGGCTCACTACGGACACTTGGAAACTAATAGAAGAGAGAAGGATAGTGAAACAAAAGATTATCCAGTGCACTGACGAGCAACAAAAACAGGAGCTGAATGCAGGCTACAATACACTGAACAAAAGAGTGAAGATTTTCAACTCCAATGTGAAGTCAGTGCTACTATACGGATCAGAGACTTGGCGAGTCATAAAGAGCATCTCAAACAAACTTCAAACCTTCATTAACAACTGTCTCCGCTCAATACTCAAGATCAGATGGCCAGAAAAGATCAGCAACAGGGATCTCTGGGAGCGAACCAACACAGCAGGAACCGATTGTGAAACAAATAGGCAGAAAGAAATGGAGATGGATTGGCCATACGCTGAGGAAACCATCAAGTGACATCACTAGACAAGCCCTCGAGTGGAACCCGAAAGGGAGGCGGCGAGTTGGTCGTCCAAGGGTGACTTGGAGGAGGTCATGCGAGGAGGAGATGAAAGCATGTGGACAGACCTGGAGCAGGGTGAAAAAGTTGTCAGAAAACCGAAGTCAATGGAGGTGCGCAGCTGAAGCCCTATGTTCCTCTAGGAACTAAAGGATACAATAATAATAATAATAATCACAAAAGCACACTTTGTGTTGGCTCAGTAGTAGTATGCCCAACAAACACACATATGGTCCGGTTTCGATTCCCTGTAGACCCACTTCTAGCAAACCCATCCTATAGAAATTATAACGCTGCCAACGTTACTAAAAATTTAAGGCTCGAATCTGAAGATCTACAATCCATTTGCAACGCGAACGACGATTAACAGTATGATCCCAACTATTGAGATTCCGACTGCCTGTTATGATACCGATAACCGCCACACTAATGATTTCAGGACTGTTAGTGCGAATCCCAGAGCTACCTAGATTTTCATCTTCGATTTAGTTGTGTTCTGGTTCAGCTGGTTGATTTAACTGCTAAGCTTTCATTGTCTTCCTTCTAGTCAACCTTGCTTCAGAGAAGGCTTTACTTTGAAGTGAACCTGTCCGACTTCTCCAAGAGTGATAATAGAATCGTATCTGCCAATAACCACTGTCGTCATTGGTTGTTAATTTACACCTTTATAGATCATTTTTACTGACTAACTTGGTACTTTTACTTTCTTGTTATTTGAGGCTTATTTTTGTAGTTGGTAAATTTAACCTGTAGTAATATGTGCTTGACAACCGCTGATTAGTCTGAGTGCCTAGCATCCAGAAATTCCCTGTCATTTTTGGTCTTTCCTCTGTTTAAAAATTCTACATACTCCTAATTCAGCTAGTGTCAGTAATTGTCTACATGCATTGATATGAAAGGCGTCGGTGACATAGCGGTTAGGACGCTCTCCGACCATGCACATGGTCCGGGGTTCGATCCCCGGCCGAGGCACTCCGACACCTTGCTAAGCCAGAAATAATCCTGGTAAAGAGGAAAGGTTGGGCATGAGGCTAGTAACCCCATCCTGTAAAAATAAACACTGCAACAGAAACTTCAAGCTATTAGCTTGAAGCCCTATGTTCCATTGGGGAACGTGAAGGAAAAAAATCGATATAAAAGAAGACATATCATGTCTTCTGACAGTTAATTTATATATTAATATATTCTTGGATTCTGAGTCAGAGGGCATGCCCACTCTGACCAATGTAGTCTTTATCACAATTTATGCAATTTACTCAGTAAATGGTATTAATATTTGGTAGAATGAATTTTCTTGCGATCGTCGAGGATGGTTTCTTGTTGGTATTTCGATTTCACTTCAGACATTTTGCGATGAAATTATGTGGATAGATATTTCTCTTCTATTCTCTTCAGCATAGGGGTGCAACAGTGTGTTCGAACTCTTCTGAAGAATGTCTGTACACAGTATCTTTTGTAAGTAATTGGATAATTACTATTATATTTGAGCTTTTGGTCTGCGTACACTGATTTTCTGTATACTTGTGTTCCTTCATTTTCTGTGTTTGTTCTTTTGATTAAGTAAGATATCTAAGAATGGAATTTTACTGTCTGACTCTGCTTCTCTTGTGAATCTGATGTTATCATATATTTTCTTGATTAATTCGTCGGTGTATTCAAAATCACATTTCTTTCAATTATTACGAATGTTATTGGATTTCATCGTGAGCTGACATCATTAAGAGAGGCGCTGGAAAACCAGCTGGAAGTACTGGATGGCTGTTTCGTCCCAGTCACTTCGGACTTTTCATCAGTACGCACCCACAAGGCAAGCTCGTAGACCATTCAGCTATTGGGACTCGACTCCTCAACGGCCAGCTCATGAATTCTAACTTCTGCCAGTTCATGACAGCGTGATCATGGGCCATTGAATCGATTGGTCTACGAGCTTGCCTTATGGGTGCTTGCTGATGAAAGTTCGAAGTGACTTGGACGAAACAGCCGTCTAGTACTCCTAGCTGGTTTTCCATTGGTTCTCTAACTGATGTCAGCTCATGATGAAATCCTTCATGGAATCAAACAAACAAAATCCCTATAAAACCAATGCTTGAATATTACGAATGTATAATCAATATAATGTACTCAGGTTTTTGTTTGAATTATCGGTTGGACTATTAATTCTGGTCTTTGGACAGTAGCTTCAGCTATTTACCCTGATATGGGCGATCCCAAAGATGTGTCTTTCATTTCACATTCAGTCATTATTAGCAATCAGCTAAAACCATCCTAAAATTGTTTCAGATAGTCTCTCACCGTGAATTACTGATGAAGTGTCTGAAAATTTCTGTTACTATTCACATATACTGAAAGGTTACCACATTTAAGTAGTATATCTGAATCTTCACTAAAAAATAATAATAGTAATAACTTACTAGCTGATCCAGCAGCTGCTAATTGAGCAAATATTGATGGTTGTAGATTGGCCACCATACCAGTAAGATTACCAGGTGAGATAAGATTCCCTTGACATGAACCTAAACTAGCCACTAATGAATTGTGTTGACTCATTGCATTATGATGTGAATTGATCGCGTTCATATTGTGAAAATTAACTGGCATAGTTGTTTTTGGCTTTGTAACTTTTGTGTTACTACGAGCAAATTCTAGTCGCATATGCTGATTGCCATCTGGATCGAACTTTACACCCTGTTGTAACAATAAAGTTTTCAAAACAAAACAAAAAAGAAAAAATAGTTGAGAAGTGATCAGAATTCTGGTTGATCATGATGAAAATATATTATACACTGAGATTATTTTCAAATATATTGATTGATTGACTTTGAAAAAGCCTTCGACAGCGCAGCGTCGATCGAGAGGTGATTTGGAAACTACTTCGCTACTATCAAGGGGTGCCGCCAACAGTTATACATCTCATCCAACAGCTGTACGATTATGCTGCATGCCAAATAATCCACAACGGGGAACTCACGAAATCCTTCGAAGTGAAGACGGAGCAAAACGAGCTGGCTGCCTGTTATATCCAATGATTTTCCTGATTGTGGACGGTAGACTGGATATTGTGACAGAAGGCGGTGAGCAGCGAGGAAACAGGCATAAAATGGACCCACACAAAAAACTTCGATGATCTGGAATTCACTGACGATATATGTCTGATTTCTCACAAACACTGGAAGATATGCAAGTGAAAAGCAACAAGTTGGTGACAGTAGACGCGTCAATGATCGGAATTCAGGTGAACGCAGAGAAAACAGAGGTAGGTGATGAAGTTTCCTGGTCAACAGCAACAGACAACAATCGGCAAAAATGGGAAAAATCTGAAAGAAGCACCCTCATTTACCTACCGACCTGTAAAGCATGAATTCAACTACAGATGGACGGAACTGATGAGGATACCACAGAGAAGATCGATCGGTAAAGCAAAGCAAGCTTTCATTTCTCTCGAGTTTGTGTGGAGAACAACAGCGCTGATCAGTTTGAAAACTAAGATCCGGAATTCAACTCCATGTGAAGCCAGTGCTATTTTATGGATCAGAGACTTGGCACGTTATGAAGAGCATCTCAAACAAACTACAGACTTCCATCAACAACAGATGTCTTCGCTCATTACTACTCAGGATGAGGTGGCTGGCCAGAAAAGATCAGCAACAGGGATCTCTGGTAATGAGTGACCAACCCAGCAGGAACCAATTGTCCAATAAATATGCAGGATGAAATGTAGGAGGATTGGCCACACTCTGAGGAAACCATCAAGTAACATCACACGCCAAGCCATCACTCGAGTGGAACCCGAAAGGAAAGTGGCGAGTTGGTCATCAGTGTGAGGGTGATATTGAGGAAGAGGTCATGTAAACAGGAGATGAAAGCATGCGAGCAGATGTGGAGCCAGGTGGAAACATTGAGAGAACTGAACACAATGGAGACGCGCGGCTGAAGCTCAATGTTCCTCTAGGAACTAAATCAAACAATAATAATAATAATTGATTTTGCAGAGATTTAACCAAATTCATGTGCGATTCGTTAGACAGAACAATTGAAAACCAATCAGGGAGTATTTTACATCTTTCCAGAAGTATGCACACATGACTTCATTGGGAGTCGAATCCAAGACCTACAAGTTACAAGGTGTGCTGGTTAGCCATGTTCTACTTGGAACACAAAGGAATCCAATTTACGCCAATATGGTTTCAGTCACCAGGATTTCGGCTTTTTATAGGATGACATTGACATTATCTCAAACAACCTTCTCTATATTTTCAACTTTATTATCCACTAGTAGACTACAGGGGTTTAGGAGAATATCGACTGATTATCGAATCTGAACGATGTACATGGTCGCTGAGCATTCTATCTATGTACAAGCTAATCGACGCAACCAATTCAACCTTTATTCACCTAAGAGCAAGGCCAGTCATATATGTTCATATCAGGTTTGATCATCAGCTGACAACAGTTACAGAACCATTACAAAACCCTGGAATGCTGGTCAACTGTTTCCTCCTAGTTTGGGTTTCTTTAGCAGTGCGCACCCACCACAGTTCGAACCCAGGACCTTCCGGTTACAAGATAATCTTGTAGACCATTGAGGCAGTGGGATCCGATGCAATACATAGTGGAATACGCTGGATATTCACCCCAAAGTCTTAGTTCTCGAGCGTTTGTTGATCAGAACTCAGTTGTCGGGGAGAGATTTTGCATTAAAACCAGACTTACATGACATACTTGATGTCTGACGGCTGTAAGTTACTACTGAGCTACCCTGCTGACTAAACCAGCCTAAGGAAGCGTCGAATTCGACACACATTAGCTGAAAGTCGTGTATCGAAATCACTGAGCCATATCTTCAGCATACAAAACCGAATCGTCCACTTTGAATCACTAACTGTAATTTGAGCCTTGGAAATACCAAATCAAATTATTATTTCAAATAACAAATCAAGTCGCCTTCACGACCCAACCACCCCAACAAAGTGTTAAATATCAAAGAAGAAAATGGATTGTAATCATATTTCAATCGATAAAAAATATTCAGCGTCCAAAACTCAACACATTGTATTAATTTAAGAGAGCCAGTGAGTCAATCAAATGAAAAACTTCGCCTTCTACCTATTACTCGTCAAAAACAAAAATAAGCCGTATTAGTGGTAGGTGTGAGTAGTACACGCCTATACTTTGTTTTATGTCCACCATGAAAAACTGAGACAGAAAATCGAAGTACATTATAGTGATTAATTGACTGATTGATTGGTTGAATAGGAGGCACAGTTATTTAAGTTACCCTCTTTTTAATCAATTTGAGTAACTTCAGTGCGCCTCCACACACATACCCACATTCACCTACATGCTCATTTCACTTCAAGGGAGTGGTCAGTTTTTGTAATAATATTAGTACAGTAAATTATTTCTACAACAAACTCCTATATCCTTCTTCGTTATTCCATTCTTATTCTACTCGTAAATAAGGGTGTGGCAAGTGTAAACAAAATATTTTTATATGATAGTATAGTTTCATACAGATCTATGAAAGCCTTCCCCTTTATAACTAAGTCAGTCTTCTGGGCTAAATATTGTCTCACTAAGGGAGAAAGGGATATTCCTAATTGTGGTGGACTGACTGGATTATGCGTCAGACAGTGAGTGGGAAACGAGAAGATAGGGATATCCTGGACCGACGTGAAGACCGACCTAGAAGACCTATATTTTGCGCGCGTGGATGATTTATGTTTGATGTCAATGTCACAAAATCGAAGACTTACAAGCGAAAACCGACAAACTGGTGGAAGAAGCAGCCGGCGAAGGCAAGACTTCAGGTGAACATATACAAGATGGAGGTGATAAAAATAACCAACCAACAACAAGAGCGGCGACATCCATCGTCAATCATCATCAACGGGAGGGATTTAAAAGAGGTCATTTCATTCACTTATCTAGGGAGCTTCGTTTCAACTACAAGAAGTCGGAACGGACGAGGATGTCAAATCGCGAATCAGGAAGGCGGAAAACACATTCATCAACTTGAAATCAATCTGGAAATCTTCGTCACTTAGCCAGCATCAACAACAAAATCCAGTCGGATTTTCAATACAAACGTCAAGTCAGTTCTTCTATACGGAACAGAAACTTGGCTGGTCACATAGAATATTTTCAACAGCCAGTTGCAGACCTTTATTAACAACAACCGTCTTCGCTCTATACTGAAGATCAGACGGCCGGAAACAAACAAAACAAGAACCGATCGCCAACCAACAAATATGCAGAAGAAAGTGGAGATGGATTGGACACATGGTGAGGAGGCCGCTGGGTGACATCGAGCGTCAAGCCCTCGAGTGGAACCCGAAAGGGAAGCGACAAGTGGGACGTCGGTGTAATGGTGACATGGAGGAGATCGTGTGAAGAGGAGTTGAAAGAATATGGACTAACATGGATACAGGTGAAAAGTAAAGGAGAAGAAAGAAGCAAGTAAAGACGTGCAGTTGAAGCCCTATGTTCCACTAGGAACCCAAGGGAACGATAATAATAATAATATAAGGGAGAAAGTAGATTTATCAAGAGCATGTTTGACCACCAGCTGACATCATTAAGAGAAACTATGGGAAACCAGTAGGGAGTACTTGACATCCGTTTCGTCTTAGTTTGGAACTCATCAGAAGAACGCACACGTCAAGCTTTGAACCCATGAACTTCCGACTACAAGGCGAGCTTAGTTCCTAACAGCTGAATCATCTACAAGCTTGCTTTAAAACCACAACAACTTGAGTTCAACTTCCAGTGGGTACGTACTGCTGAAGAGACTGAAACTAGGACAAGCACAGCTGTCCAGTACTCCCCGAAAGTTTTCCAATGGTCCCGTAACTGATATCGCCTCGTGATCAAGCTTATAGATGATCACCTTTGACAAATGTCTGATACATGCTTTGAGGTAAGGATAATCATACTGTTATTGATTCGTTGTACCTCCATGATCCATTATCAGCTCAGGTGTCTCCGATGTGAACTATAATCCATTTAAGGTTGCAATGATAACAGCTTAAAGCAATAGCACATAAAATTCAAACATTTTCTGCATTAAAGCAAGTCAACTTATCGCCTACAACGTAGGTCAAATTATAAATAGAAAGTTATAAGGTAAGAGATTCCGAAGAGGAGCTATCACAGTAACCTAGAGGTTCTGATTTTATTTGCCGATCGGGATGATGGGTACGTACTGTTGAAAAATCCCAAACTAGAACGAAATAGCTCTTCAGTACTGTCTGATGAAGAGTCCCAAAGTAGGAAGAAACAACTCTCCTATACTCCTTGTTTGGTTTTTAGTGATTCGCTAAATGATGTCAATCCGCCAACTACCTTGAAGTCTGTCATAATATGGCATATACATTGATGAATTATCTTTCTTTGCATCTAAATATATTCTTTCGTTTCGTTTGTGTTTCAGGAGGTGCATGCATTTTGTACTTTATATTAATATTGTCCACATTCCAGATCTTATGCTGTTTGCTTATCCTCAAACACCTGTCTATTGTGGCATTCTATATTAATATTTTTGACTTGCCATTGACACTTGTCATCTTTCTTCAAATAAATAAATAAATAAATCTATATTTATTAGGGTAGATTATGTAATCACAAGGTATTTTAGAACTAGAAAATCAAAGAATAGTAACATTGTCAATAGTTCTGATGTAACTCTG